TGTTTTACCATAAGAGAGAAGACAGGTCTATCCCCTCACGATCTCAGGAAGTCATAATTATTTATAAAACCACCTGCATTTATAGCAGCATATAAAATTATAAATATAAGTTCTAGCCCACCCAGTTAAAAGGAAAATCTTACCCTTTGATGGTGAGTCACTTGGAAGAATCTCTGCCTTCTCTTTCTAGAATCCCATTGTCTTTAGTGAAGGATTCTGTTTCTGATTTCTTACCTAGCTACCGGGACACACTGCAGGAACTCACCTCTGCCTCAGGAGAGATATGCAGTGATCTGTGTGTAGCTGGCTTTGGCCACCTCATCCTGGCATTAAAAAAAAAAAAAAAAAGTGAATGGGACGCCTGTTGGCCATTGTCTGCCTTTTTCTTGGTGGTTCCGACAGTGCCGGCCTGAGTGTCGGGCGAGGTCCTTGGAAGGCCGTCCCAAGGGCATTAAGTCTTGGAGGAGGGAAAGATGCTGTCTGATGACAGAAGACATGACATCATCGTGGAGGTTGAAGATGTTCCATCCGGGGACCAAAGCCATTCCTCCTCGAGTCAGATTGTTCTAGAAAAGACTCTGGTAAAACCAAGCTTCAGCATGGCCTCATTCATTTCTGATATCGACGGGCCAGACTCTCTGATTTTCAGCAGCCAGAGTGACAAAAAAGGCAAGCAACTGTTAGAATTTGCAGCGTCTTTGACTGGACTGTTCTCTCACCCCTTCATAGTCCAGAAGTGTGGGCGTGGGCATGCCTAGTGCTTCGCCTGAAAACATTCAAGGTAGCAAGACACTGGGGGAAGTAGCAAGGATCACTTAGTGGGAGCAAAGAAAGCTTTTAAGACACTGAGTCGGGGTCTCCCTGGTGGCACAATGGGTAAAGCGCAGCACCATGAAGCCATCTGCAGCCACCGCAGCATGAGTTGAATCCCCGGCCAGGGAGGTGAACCACGTGCACAGCAGACCTCTCCTGACTCCCTGCTCTGTATTTCAGACCCTCTGCCTGTCCTGCTCCCCACTCTGTCTCTGGTGAATCCTCTCAGCCCCCTGCACTTCTGGCCCGTACCCTGTTTTATATGCATAAATAAACAAACTTTAAAAAATAGACACTGAGTGGGTGGAAGGTTTGACAGATGACGCAAGGATGCTGGGGCCTGAGGCTGGGTCCCTTTGGGAGGCTGTGATGCCTGAGAAAGGACTATCGAGGTCATTCATGTGCCTGGAGCTCTGCCAATCTCTTCCTTTCTGTTGTCCTTTCAGTTCCATGTTAGCTTTCCCCCTGACTCCACCGCTTTGAGGCAGGTCTGCCTGTCATTTCCATTTGTTGGGTGAGGAAGCTGAAGATTCACCAGGGAAACGAAAGCACCGTGCCGATCTGGGACCCAAACTCCCCATTCCCAAGCCTGATGCTTCAGTCCATTCTGCTCATCCTGGACAGTCTGACAGGAGGCCTCTGGCACTCAGCTGGCCATCACAGCACGTCTCAGCTGAGTCCCCCTGCCTCTCTGCTCTGGAGGCCAAACACGGATGTTTTTCTCCTACACCATCCCAGGTGTAAAGTCCAGCTGTTCACAGTGATTTATGGAAGGAAAATCACCAGAGCATGCTGTGGGCTGGGCCCAGGACTCCGGGGCTTTGCTGGCCGCTGCCACTCACAGCCACAAAGCAGTGTTTTCCTAGGACTATCAGGAATGAGCTGTCAGGTGTGCTTGCTTCCGAAGGCCCTCAGTTCTGAGAAGACGGCGGGTTAATACCCCAAAGACACTGCTTTAACAAGTCACTCTGAGCTGGCATTCTCTAGCGAGTGAAGCAAAGACAGCCGTTCCGCAGTGATCAGGCCTCCATCCAGATCGGGAGCCAGTGATGTCGGGGCCTCAGAGTCCTCATCACGCTCCTGCTCGTATGGACCCAAGTACATTCCTGCTGGCTGCATCTGCCTTCTGATAGTTCTAGAACTTTGCCTCCAGACATATCTAGGACTAGAAAATTAACTCAGCTTAGACAGGCCATAAGCAGTGTGTGCCCCATTTCCCCCCAACACACACCATCACACCTCTATCAGGTTGAACCCCTTTATTGGAGATTAGAGTTTATCCAGTCAGGCTGCTGCTCACCCAGATCTCTGACTCTGCCCCACTTCTCCTTTCTTCCTCTCTGTCTACCCCCTTTGCCTCTCAGAACAGACACAAATTTCCTTGTCTCCAGCAGAGCGATTTGGGGGCTCTCTTCTGGGGACGCCCCCTTCACCTCAATGATGTCATTAAAAGGAAGAGCCTCAGTTTCTCAACCAGGGAGTCAGCCTCCCAGCCAGCCAGGCTCTCAGTGCCCCCACTGTGCCCCCCTCAAACCATGCTGGCTTTTTGTTTACGTTTGTGGTCTTTGGTCTTTGGAATTGCTGCCCTGGTGCCATTTTCTGTCCAGTGTTCTTTTGAAGATCCTCTAACGTCACTGTCATATTTTAAAATGTTATTATTTTGTTAAAGAGGAAAACATCCTTTATTTTCTTCTGCAGGACAAAAGTTAATTGCATCTCTGGCACCCATGAACTCTAGAGACAGAATTAAAACCATCAGGAATCAGCCAAAGACCATGGAGGAAAAAAGGACGCTTAGGTATGTACCTGAAGCTTTTCCTCTTTCCTGGATTTCAAGCGAACCTCGGTCATCTACTTTTTGCCCCATCTCAGAAAGATAAGAAATAAATAGATGCTGAGAAGAGGCCACTTTCCTATAGGTGAATTCCAAAAGATCTCTGTAGTTATTCTTCTCTCCTTTCACCTGCAAAGCAAGCAGTACTTAGTGACCTGCTTCTAAAGATAAAGTGTGGACAGAGAGAAAGTAAATTTCCAGTGGCAAAGCACTGCAATAATTCCTGAGTAGGTTGGCATCCCAGAGTGTGTGGGAATTTGCAACTCTTCCATACATTTCAAACTATCCAGAAAAGGAAAAGTTTATGAGAGACTCAGAAAGTTTCTAAGCCTAAGAGCTCAAAAATTAGAGGGCTGCCGAAGCCCTGCGCTCAGACCTTTCTTTCAGCCTTGTTTTTAAGCTTGTAAAAGTTGGCAGAAACTAGTAGCATAGAGGCCATGATTGCTAATAAATAACTTAACGATGTATTTGTTCTGAACTCGCAAAGATAATAATTGTGACTGGCAAGGGAGAGATTGGTCAACAGGTGACTTATAAATGACAGAAAGGAAATTGACCCAAATCAAGAGAGGAAGTTGAGTGAGAGGGTAAAGTCCAGTTGGGCAGAGCTAGAGGAAGCTGAGCTGAGCTTTGAAAGATGGCGAGTGGGGGTGGGGGCTTGGCCAGACCAAGGCAGGCCAGAGAAAGACCAGAGCGACGTAGGTGGGACTTGTCCACGGAAGCTGAAGAGACCACCTGTGCTGGATCTTGCTGGAAACACCCAGCTGTTTCCACCAGTGCGTGCCTCCCTGTGTCACGGAGTCAGACTGGAAACACAATAGATAAGGTGCAGAGTGAAGAACAACATTCCTCGTCTCTGTTTACTAAAGTCAGTATCACTCCTACAACCTCAAAGGTCTCCAAACCTTGTCGGATGTCCCTATGGGCATGCAGTCCCCCCAGGTCGGGGACCAGGGACCTGAAGGATCCCCCCTGCGAGCCCCAGTCATCCTCGTCCCCTCCTCCCTTCCCTGCTCTGTCTGTTCCTGCCACCCTGGTCTCTGTGCCATTCTGTCCCTTTGGGGCTTTGTGTTGTCTGTTCCCTCTCTGGGCCACCCCTTAGCTGTACCCCTCTTTCGCTTTCAAACCTTCCTTCCAATGCCACCCAATTCCAGAACTCCCCATCTCCTTACCCCTTCTCTCTTCCCACAGGATACATCCCCTTCCAACATACTATCTAGCCTACCCATCATTTTCATCATATTTTTGTTTTTTTCTTTTCCAACTAGCAGTCCTGCTCCATGTACAGGGAAACTGGTCTTTTTGCCCAGCAGGTCCTAGGCAAAGAGGATCTCCCAGGTCCTCTTTGCTGGGAATTTTTTAAATTCCTATTTTTAAAAATAGTTTTATTTTATTTTTATGCATACAAGATCTGGGGTGTAGGCCAGAGGTAAAAAGGTTCACCAGAGACAGAGCGGGGAGCAGAACAGGCAGATCAACAAAGTACACGGCTGAGGGGAGCAGCGAGTGAGACAGGAGAGGTCTGCTGCACCCTGTGGGTCACCTGGGGGTGGTGGGGGTGGTGGGGGGATCGAACTGCTGCTGCAGTGGCTGCAGATTGCTTCTTAGTGCAGGGACTTAACCCTTGTGTCTCCAGGGAGGCCCACGCTCAGTGAATATTCGTGCAAGGAGTGCATTCCAGCCTTCTCCTCTCACTCTCTCCTGCTGTTCCCATAGGAAAATGGTTGAGAATGAGAAGAGCAGGCAGTCCCGTCCCATCCTTCAGCTCGGCTGCTGCGCACAGTGTCTGAGCTCCATCTCACTGGTGAGCCGGCCCTGATTGCTGCCAATAAAATGGGCCCAACCGGGAGTGAAAATAGGAAGGCGGGAGAGTGGGGGTGGAAGGGTCACGTGGGCACGAGGAAACAGAAATCTGAGCATTTATTGATAGTCAGAGAAATTGGGTCTGGCTAGGAGAGGGAGGTGAGAGGGGTGATGAGAAGATGCTGAACTACCTGGGCAGTTTATTCTGAGAGTGTCAGATCTGGGAGTAAGAGTGCTCACCTCAGCAGGTGGTCCTGTGTGAATGAGGTAACTCTGTGCTACTAAGTGAGATAGCATGGTGCCCTGCACTTTGGAGTGTTCTAGAAACAGTGACTGTTGCTGAGGCTTCTGCTCGGTAGCTCTCTGTGGAGCGAGTGGCAAGCTTGGGGTGTTTTTCGGTCCTAACCTCAGGGGTACCGGCGATCCAAGAACTCCCTGTCAGAAGTGCTCAGTTCCTTCACCCTGTGGCAGAAGACACTCAAAGTCATCGGGGGCAAGTTTGGAACCAGTGTGCTCTCCTATTTCAACTTTCTGAGGTGGCTTTTGAAGTTCAACATTTTCTCATTCATTGTGACCTTCAGCTTCATCATAATCCCGCAGTTTACCCAGGCTGAAAAGAACACCCTCCAATTCACTGGATTGGAATTTTTCACTGGGGCGGTAAGTCCTCCATTTCCTCAAAACATGTTCTGGAGAACCTCGGTGGAACCTGGCCGGTCACTGCCCAGACCTCTCACTTTCCCTGGGAGCTGACTGACGGGGAAAGTAGGTGCTTAAAATAATTTTCCCAAAAGTAATACACAACATAGTGGAATCCCTTTCTGTATGTTAATAGTTTATATCATCCAGATGTTCTTTTCTGCACATGTATGGACACATATATAAGGTACCTATACATCCTTTTTTTTTTTTAACGTAAACAAAAGATGAATTATTCATATACTGCCTGCAACTTTTTGTTCTCTACTGTTAGGTAGTGGGCCTATTGGTGTTCATAGATCTACCTTTTCTGTCTTTTGCATTTTTCTTTCTATAAAACACTGTGCTCCTTTTGAAAAATTCCTGTTGTGGTAGAGATCAAGCTAAGAGAAAGTCCACTCTTCCCTTATCTCTTTTTTCACTTCAGAGTGTATCTGTGTCCACTGCTTTTCTTTCTATAGAAAGATGGTTGGATGGATGGATGCATGCATGCATGCATGTATGGAGGATGAGTGGGTGAGTTGATGGATGGATGGGTGGGTGGATGGATGTGGGTGAGTGGATGGATGGGTGGGTGAGTGGATGGGTGGATGGATGTGGGTGAGTTGATGGATGGATGGGTCGGTGGGTGGATGGTGGATAGATGAATGGATGTGAGTGGGTGGATAGATGGTGGATGGGTGGATGGATGGTGGATGGATGGATGGAAGGAACATACAGATGCATACATACACAAGTAGACATGTAATAATAGATCCATAGTTAAGTAGGTAGGTGGAAAGATAGACAATAAGCATTCTTTTAAAAATATAAAAGACAGGATACTATCACTCTGGCTTTGCAGCCATTTTTGCTTCCCTCTGTATCTTGACATTTACAGAGCCTCAGTTAATTACCTGGTTCCCTCTTGCATCGTGTAGCCCCTGCTGTGGAGTTTACCTTTTGAAGGGCTTTAGCCACAGAGGTTCTGCAGGCCAGGGATACACAGAGGACTGCCACCTGTTTCTGTACAGCCTGCAGACTAAGACTGATAGTTACCTTTTCAAACGCTTGTAAACAACTCCAAAGAAGAAAATTTTGTGGAACATGAAAATTACATGAAATCTACATTTTGGTGTTGATCAGTGAAGTTCTTTGGGAACACGGCAGGCCTGCTTGTTTTCATGTCTGTGCGATTCCTGCTACCAGAGTGGCTGTTGCAGCCTTGTCGATCTGTCCAGACAAAGGTATTTACTGTCAAGCTCTTTACAGAAAAAGTTTGCTGACTCTTGCAGAGAATGTCTTTTTTTTTCCTTTTTCTGTAAAAAAAAAAAAAGAAAAGAAAAAAACCTTTCCCTTAATATAGATGCATTAAAACAGAATCATTGTATAAGGTTCTCCTTCATTTCCCTCACGATTATATTTACATTATGGATTTGAGTACATGCGAAACTGAAAAATTTCAGTCACAAAGCAGTAAGATGTGGTAACTTAATTGAATACATATAGCTCTTAAAGTCTTGCCCATTTGGCCATATTTGATTTTATGACTTGGGGTAATCATTTTGTACTTATTACAGACATCAGGACATTTCACTCTGAATTTTATCTTCATCCCTCAAAGATAAAGACACTTTCCCATAGTCCCTCTGTCGTTAGCATACCTCGAAAAATGAAAATACCAGCACTGTTTAAGTTCTATAGACAGACTATCTGGGTGCATCCCTACACGTGTAGGTAGGTAATAGAAGATCCATAGATGAGTCTGGCCGTGTGCCAGGTCGTGTTTATATCTCCCAGGTGTTCCCAAGAATTTTCTGTAATGTGCTTGTTCAGAGCAGGCACCAGCTGCCTTTATCTAGCTTTTGTTCACCTCAAATAATGTCCCCTGTCCTGACCCTTATTTATCTTGACACTGTGTTATTGCAGAAACCAGGCCATTTGCGTCCTTTCCGGTCTCACCTTCTGCCACTGTCTGCTTTCTTTCTCATTTGTTCCTCCGGCCCATGATTTCTTTTAAATTGTTTCCTATTAACCACGTCCAAACATAATAATTGGCGACAAAGGCACATAATGACTGACTGTCCTGCTTTTCATCAGGTGTCACTTGCTCACCCTTGATGGTGACAACTGGGTCTCCCCCTGCAAAGTCATGTTGGTTTTGGAGAAAATGTCTGGTTTCTCCGTGGCCTTCATTTCCCGTTTTCTGGCCAACAAAGTGACTAAAGTGACCCATGCACTTCCTGTCGAGTGAGAAGTCCACCTGTGCTGATTGTGGCCACTCATCACTTTCTTGAGCACATCCCCTGACCGTGGGTTCTTGTCCCCTCAGGGCTACTTTCAGGACACAGTGATGTACTATGGCTATTATAGCAACGCTACGATCGGACAAGGCAGCGGGAGTGCCACATACGACATGCAGCTGGCCTACATCTTCACCATGGGCCTATGCATGGTCATCTGCTTTTTCAGTTTGCTTTTCAGGTAGGGAACGCACTTCCCAACGCTCAGCTCTTTTCAGATCTCGGCAGAATCCGAGAGACTAAAGATTTACCCAGGAGACAACTTCTCTGTCATTTTGATTTGGTCTGATCGCTCCTTACCCTGCAACAGAAAATACAGAAGAAGAGAAAGAAATCGGTGTATCTAAAAATACAATTCAGTCCATAATGACCTCACGGCCAATGTAATGGTCCCAAGGCGAGTGAGACCTTGTCCTGTTGAGTTAGGCAGCTTTGACTTGGGGATGGCAAAGTCTGGAAAGGGAGGGTCCCTGTGACTCAGCATTTACTTTGTGTCCGCCCCGGTGTCAGGAACTCTTGGACCTTTTCTTAATGAGTCCCAAGTGCTCTATGATAATAACACAAGCTTCTGCTCCAAATGCTGCATTGACACTATATAGTCAACTGAATAATGGTTCCCCACCCCCCAAAATCAACCATGTCCTAATCCCTATAACCTGTGTCCTTTACCTGGCAAAGGGGACTGTGCAGATGTGATTAAGAGTCTCAAATGGGAAGATTATCCAGGGTTATCTGAATGGGCCCAGTGTAAGTCACATGGGTCCTGTAAGTAGGAGCCAGGAGGGTCAGAGCAGAGAACAAGCATATGCTCCATTGCCTTGAAGATGAGGGAAGAGGCTGCAAGCCAAGGAATGCAGGAAACCAATAGAAGCAGGAAAATGCAAGAAAACAGATTCTCCCCTGGACGCTTCAGAAGAATCACGGCTGTGCTGTTAACTTGATTTAAGACTCATTTTCTGATTTCTGATCTCTAGTAAGAGAACACATGTGTGTTCTAATTTTGGGGTAATTTGTTACAGCAGCCATAGAAAAGTAATACAACTTTCATAATAGCTCTGTGAAGTGGGTGCTATTAACCCTTTATATAGATGAGGAAACTGAGGCTCAGAATGCTTAAAATGACAAAGACACCTCCCCCAAGCTGGCAAATTCAGGCTTGCAAGTCAGGTCTGTCAGGTCCAAGTGCTTTAGTGATTAGATGCACTGTCCACCATTCCTGAAGGATTTGGGGCTACCCCTTACATGCTGTCTGTCACCCTTAGGGATAGGGCTTTCCTTTGTGTTAATTCCTGTACTCTCCCATGTCTATCTTAATAACTCTTGGGTATTTTGGTTTCTGCCTTCCCCAGCATGGCTAGGTATTTCCGGAACAACTTCATTAACCCCCACATTTACTCCAGAGGAATTGCTAAGCTTGTTTTTTGCTGGGACTTCACTGTTACTCATGAAAAAGCTGTAAAGCTGAAACAGAAGAATCTTAGCACTGAGATAAGGGTAAGGCGAGCTTGCTTTATATATCTTCCATCATCAGTATTCTTCCCTCTCTCTGCGTATATGTAACTTTTGTTAAAGTAATAATGAGTTATTTGTTTAATGCTCATGAGGTTGGCAAAAAACCTAGAAATACTCATAATGCCTCATGCTGGTGATGGTATAAGAAAATGCTCATTTTCATAATTGGCTCACACATACTAGAGGGGAGTTTAGCACTTTATAACAAAATGTTCAGTGCAATTATTTCTTGATCTCACAGGTTTAAACTTTTATTCAATGATTTCCAGTTTTCCTCCTGAGAAGGTCTATGGTATTTTCATTGTTACAGAATGGGGAAAAGGAAGCGACTGGCATCTAGTAAAGGAGCCAGGGACAATGCTATCTTTGGTTGCACAGAGCATCTGCCACAAGGCAGCAGTGCTTCACGCAAGTGTCTGTAATGCTGAGATGGAGAAACCCAGGTCTATAGAAACAGTTATGAAAAAGAAAGAACAAGCAAAATTATTAACGAAGGAATTTTGACAAGAGGACTGCTGGTGCTAACTTCCCCCTGGGTACAGAGACCCCACCTCATTGTTCAAGGACCTCCATGATCTCACTGTACTTTCCCCGAGAGCACAGAACCATCTGCTGGCCCATAGGCCCTGCTAGGATGGGAGAGGCACTTGCTGTGGTGATGGGTTGCTCTCGGACTATCTGAAGTCTCCCTAGGGGACTCCCAACGTCCACCTTTATCTTTGACTTTCCCTTCTCTTTTGCCTGGGCACCTGGGTGTGTGTCTCTGTGTTCATCAAATATTCACTTGGGGCAAGGACCGTCGCCAACCATGGAAAGGGGTCTGTGGGTCACCTTGACTTCCTTGTCGCTATAGGAGAACCTGTCAGAAATCCGCCAGGAGAATGTCAAGCTAACGCTCAAGCACAAGCTGATCCGCTTGTCTGCCCACTTGGCAGCCTGGGTCATCTCTACCGGAGTGGCCGTGGCCTGCTGTGCCGCTGTTTATTACCTGGCTGAGAACAACTTAGAGGTAAGCAGCGAGGCAGGAGCATAGGGTGCCGAGCACAGACATTCAGGGGAGGGTGTGGGGGATGGGACGCTGAAGTGATAGTGTGGTGGAGCACCTGTGCTCACCCTGGGGTCTGTGGCCAGTAGCATCAGCTGGAAGCTTGTTAAAAAAGCAGCACCTCAGCGTGCCCATGTGAGGTGTGTGCTGACTCACCAAACTGTGAGAAGCTCTGGGCTGGGGAAGAGGGAGAAGCCCTGGCTGGGGCCCTGCGATCAAATTCTGCTTTCTTCCTTTCTTGTATTTCCTAATGCCTTCCACAGCCCTGGCACAGAATGGACATTCCATAAGTATTGTGAATGGGTGGACTTTGGCACATGATTTAATCTTCCAGATTTCTTACTGTCAAGTGGGAGTGATCCTACCTGGATTTGTAGGGGTATGATCAGGAAAAAAGTTATTTGGACAGTCGACCTGGTACCTGGTACTTTGGGTGATGAAGATATGTTAGCCGTCCACCCCCACCCTCGCTCTCTGCTTTTTTTTTTTTTTTTAAATGATATGAACTCAGGCTAATTTCTGAGAGGCAGGGGCAAAGTACTGTTTTTACAATAGGTTTCTCTTCTGGAGAAATGAAATATGGAACTAATGTGGAGCCAGTTCTTTGACCTCTAGAATTGTTGTGCAGATTGGTCTGATTATGCCATTAAAAAAAAATCTTTCTATTACCTTCAGTATGACATCTACCTTCTATGGCATGGTTGATAGATCTTTTATGATCTGACCCCTGCACACATCTCTAGATTTAACACCCACTACCACTCATCTGCCACATAGTGGGTTCATTGTTCCTCTTCCCCAGCCCAGATGCTTTTTCTCATCTCTAGCTGGGAAACAGGCAATTCATTCTTAAGCCCCCCTCTTCCCTTCATGTTATGAATTCCTCCCCTAGACTTCAGCAGGGGTGTCGTTTGCCCCTGGAAGTCTTCTCCCACTGCCACCAGCCTGACGAGGCTGCCTTAGTCTTCCCCTGTGGATTTATCATACACTGAAAACGCTTCTGTTGGTCAGTTGAGGGAGCCTGGGCCCTGGCCCATCCCTAGTACTCCGTAGGTGCTCAGCCCAGTGGAACCTCAAGGAAAGAGAAGCCAGCAAGGAAAGTGGCGTGGGCTTAAAGGAACCGAAGGACTTGCCACTGACCACTTTAAGTTGGGCCCTGGAAGAGGGGAAATGGAGTCAGAGTCCTCAGGGGCTGGGCTTGGCTTACCTAGGGTGGGTTGTGACCACACACCTGTAGGTGTAAAGAAGGCTTTGGAGTTTCTGCCTCGAAGGCTTTCTCCATGCCCTTGGTGGTGGGGGAGGGAGTGGAGGTGGATGGTTCTGTTGTCTGAACATTTGGGAGAACTCTGGGGTTTCTGTTCTCTGGCCACAGAGGTTTTGTGTGAAGGGCGGTGGTGTTTAAGGTTCAGACATCGCCTTATCTGAGCTCATTTAATCCTGTCACCTCTGTGGGTTTTGTGATCATGTTCCCGTTACACAGGTGAGGCCCATGGAGGCTGCATGTCTGGTCCCAGACCGGTAGTTTGCAAGCACACAGAGTGGGTCAGCGTCTGAATCTAAGTGACACTGGCTTCACAGATTCTACCCCAAGTGAGAGACTTGGGTTTTCAAGAACTCCCAGAGCTGGATACCAGTGAGGTCAGGCTTGGGGTTGAGGCACAAGAGCCCTGAAATCCCCTGCCCAACGATGCCCAGCTGAGGGGCCGCCCTCAGCTCCCAGGGCAGCATCCACAGGAAGGAAGGGGCACCTCTCCCTACCTCACGTCAAAGTGAGGTGGGCTCCCCGCCCCACGAGACTGCCCCAAAGACAGATAAAGCCTCCAAAGCCTTGGAAATGAATAAGTACCCCCAGGAGAGGGAAAAGAAATGCTGAGGTGACTGGCTGCAGGACCGTAGCTTCCAGAGACTCAGACTTTTGCACCAGGGCCAGGGCCCAGGGGCTCCTCCCTACCTCCCAGACCTCTCCGTAAGGCCCAGTCACAGCTGGCTCTTTGCGCTCAAGGCCATACCTCAGATAGACTTGGGCTCACATTTGCCACCCCCTAGCTGGGTGACCCGGGCCAACATCTTCGTGTCTTTGAGCCACGGTGTGCCCATCACTGACGTCTATTCATACCCACCCACGGGACTGCAGTGACGGTAACGTGCAATCACGTAGGGGAAGACTTCGTGCAGGTAAGTGCTCCATAAAGGAGCACTTCTGGGATTTCCTGAGTGAGACAAGAGGGCTCCGGGCACAGGCGGCATCTGGATTTTCTCCCTCGATTCCCTGCAGTTCCTGAAGAACCACAGTGACCCTGGGGCGGTGCTGTTACTGCCCTTCATGGTGTCCTGCATCAACCTGGCCGTGCCCTCCTTCTACTCCATGTTCAGGCTGGTGGAGCGCTACGAGATGCCGAGGCATGAAGTCTACAGCCTTCTGATCCGGTAGGGGTCTGTGGCAATAGATCACACTCAAGTGTAGTTTCCAAGATCTAATTTCCAGAAAGAGTTTCGTGCGTAATACGTTTTTGTTTGGGGTGGGTTAACAGCCATAAAATCCTAAGAGCACTGAGAAAATGCAGTCGTTCCATACGTCTGCCCCAAGGAATGCCTTTCCTGTCCCCGCTGCTGCCAGATCTAGGGAGACACAGTTCTTCTCGGTGATGAGAGGCACTGGTGTGCGGGTTGTGCACTGCATAAAGCCTCCTGCTTGGGGAACCTGGAGAGGGGACTGGAACGGACAGTGTTTGCATTAGTCAAATTGAGCTCTGCAGGGAGGAAGAGATGCATTTTTGTCATTCAGCCACCCAAATGGATCTGGCGAGAGTACTTCTGGCAATTCACTGGCAGGGAGAGGCACCTTCTTATCACTCCACAAAAGCATTGTATTGCTGGATGTGACCTCAGCGTTTTGATAAACAACACACAGATGACTCCAGTGGTGTCCATATTGCTACTTTCCAAGCACCTGCTTACTGTGGTGTTTATACCACTCGTGAGCTGGTGCTTCCCATCAGCTACACAGGCTGTACCTTGCAAGAGGTTGGGACCTGGCATTGAAAAAGCTCCACCTGCTTCCCTTCTTTCATTGAACCTAGAGTCCAGTAGAGTGGTTCTCAAACTCCCAGCATGCACCAGCATGACTTAGTGTATGATTTCCTAAGTCTGGGGTAGGGCCTGAGACGTTGCCTTTCTACAAGTCCACAAATGCTGCATGTGTGGGCCCTCCAGTGGCACAGGCCCTATGCTGCAGCCCCAAGCACCGGCCAGATTGCTGGTTCAGGCGACCTGACGACATTTAACAGCTTGGGCTACTAAACCAGCGGCCCTTGGTCTGAATCTTCGTTAGATCCCTCACACAGTGTGTCACCTTGACAAATTCTTTTCTCTCTGAGCTTTAGTTTCCTTATCCACAAGAAAGACAAAGCACATACAGACATAAAGTGCCGATGGAGTTGGAACATTAAGAAAGCTGATGCAGTCAAGTTCTTGGCACCTGTCCATGCTCCACCTCCAATGAACAGTATTATGTTTATTTACTATTATTACGATGAAATGTGAAATCAGATAGTTTGGAGATGCCCCAAAAGGGTGATAGCTGTTAGAAGGAACTAGGTTGTGCTGCGGTAACAAATATCCCCTCTTGGCCCTCCCTTGTGGCGCAGTGGGTTAAAGCACAGCACTAAGAAGCTTAAGCCACTTCCGCATGAGTTCGATTCCCGCCTGCCCTGGAGGTGACCACATGGCGTGGCAGACCTCTCCTGACCTGCCCGCTGCTCCCCTCAGCAGTGTACTTCATTGATCTGCCTGTTCTGCTCCCCACTCTGTCTCTGGTGAATCCTCTCATCCTCCGCATCTCTGGCTTGTACCCCAGTTCTGTATGAATAAATAAGTAAATCTTTTAAAAAAAAATACCCCTTCTTCCCAACATCTCACAGGCTTGGAACACAAAGTTGTATTTCTTGTTCACGCTGCATGTTCATTTATTAATTTATTTTATTTTTGCATAGAGAACTGGGGTGTAGGCAGGGTGAGAAGATTCACCAGAGGCAGAGTGGGGAGCAGAACAGGCAGATCTACTGAAATCCACTGCTGAGAGGAGCAGCGGGGAGACAGGAGAGGTCTGCTGCGCCATGTGGGTCAGCTCTCTGGCTGGGGATCGAACTCAGGCCTCAGAGGTGACAGCACTGAGCCTTAACCCCTTGGCCACCAGGGAGGCCCCTGCATGTCCACTGTAGATCGCAGGGCTTTTTGGTCACATCAGTCACTTAGGGATCCAGGCTGGGAGGGCAGCTACGATCTCAAATATTATTGCTGGCCATTTCAGAGGAAGGTTCTCCCTGGCACTCACATGGCATTTAAATGCTTCAGCCTGGAAGTGTCACAAGGTGACACACTTATATCTCTCTGGTTCACAACTAGCCATAGGTCCCACTCAAACCACAGGCAAGGCGAACTCTTCATTCTCTCCATGTGCTTAGAAGGAAAGACTGGTAAACAGCACTGCTGAATGCCACAGAAGCAGTGATAGTTGTTTCTCTTCTGTTGTTTAGAAACATCTTCCTGAAAATGTCAATCATTGGAATTCTTTGTTACTATTGGCTCAATGTTGTGGCCCTAGCTGGAGATGAGGTGAGATTTCTATGCTTTTATGCCTTCACTTTGGTTTCTTAAGTTTTGACCCTCCAGAAAGATGTTTCCTGAGTTTCTGCTCATGATATCAAAGCAAATGTATTATTCTTTCATTCATCTGTCCATCCGTTCGTCCATCCATCCATCCATCCATCCTTGGGCTGTGCACCCAAACCTTTCCTCCCCTCTATCAGCCAAATCTAGGAGCTCCCACTCCCTCTGCTGAGAGGACTGACTTCCTGTGCAGGTTACTGATCACGGATTGCACCTTCCAGTTTGTGCTAGCATGATAACCCTTTCTTCCTCGATCAGATAGTGACTTTTCATTAGGTCAGTAAGAAGAGCGGAGGCATTGCTAGGCATGGACACCCTGGTCTCCCGGAGAAACTGATCAATCCTGGCAGACAAACAGAATCTAGAGGAGCAGGCTGTGTTAGAGAAGAGCATGTGAATGGAAGGTTGGGTACCTGTGGAGGGGCCTCCATAGGGGTGCAGAAAGGGAGTCAACACCTGGAAAACAAACTGAGCTTTAATGGTGCATTTCTGCTGCGGTGTGGCCGCTTTCTGGGTACTCAAGGAAGTAGCCAAAGTGAGCCACCAGCTCTGTGCTCATGAATCCGGGATGCCTGGAGCAGATGGGGATTGAGCTTAGGCACACCCCCCCCCACACACACCCCAAACCTGACTCTTGTTTATTTCCAGTGTTGGGAGACGCTCATTGGCCAGGAAATCTACCGGCTCCTTCTGATGGATTTCATGTTCTCTTTGGCCGACTCCTTGCTGGGGGAGTTCCTGCGGAGGTAAGGACTGGCCAGTATTGAGTGAGCCATGGCTGCCGAAGAGGGGTTTGGTCAGTGATGTGTGTGTGTGTGACATGGACCCAGAGCCTGGGTGTGCAGGAGGCGCTGCCGGGTCATGACGTCACACCGTGTGTGATGTTTGCGCGGTGACCATATTGCCAATGGTGCATTTCTCAAGAGGATCGTGACGCAAAGTATGTCTGTAGCTAGCACCTGGCATCGTAACCATTGCCAGGGCAGTCTTGGTGGAACAGGGACACATGTCCCTTATCAGGCCTGAGTGTGCCTTGTCCTGGGTTTTCCTACTGACCTTGTATATTGTTTTCCTCTAAATAACTGGAATTTCACCTTGCCTGACAGTCCCCTTGTCAAAGTTCATTTGGTTTAGCTGGTCCTTTGCAACCTTTTTTCTCTTGGAAAAAAGAAAAAGTTCTAGAAATAGAAACTGAGAGCCATTTGTGATCTAGCCACTGTACATAACTTTACCATGGAAGAATCTTCCTTCAGATTTTCCTAGTGCAAGATGTTGTATGTGTATCCAGGATCATTTTCAAAGACAAAGAATGGGTCTCACGGTGAGACACTGGTGGAGTTTGCTCTTATCTTATCACTATGCCTTGGCATCTTGCTTTAGCTCATTATTTTAATTAAATGCAATGAATGTGCTGAAATTTTATAGGCCCCAGGGACACAGAATTGAGGCAGTGGTGTTATCCTTGGCCCATTGTGGTTTTTGTTCTTTCTTTTTAAATTCTATCATGGGCATCTTAGTCCTGGTAGACTTTTACATATTCTGGAAGCTGCTCTGGTGGTAAGATGGCATGACACCATATCAGGACCTTCCTCAGTGTGGAGACAGAAGCCCAGATGTCCTCATGCAATCAACCAAGCTCACTCTTATTCCTCCAGCCTCTGTCTGAGTTGGAGAAGTGTTTTATTAGATATCATCTTTTTTTGGCAACTCCTCTGTATGAAGAAGTGGTCTCAGGTTTTCCCAAAGACTTTGGTTTCCTCCTTGTGGACTTAGAGAACAGGGAAACACCAGTAATTTGATACCTATAAATAACCAAAATTGAAAATAAATTAAATTTATTTTGGTTGAGAGGTACTGAGTTTTTCTGCTGGGACAAAAAGCCTTAATAAGCCAGAGTGATTACACTAGATAATGGCTGGGATAATTACTGTTAGCAAATGTTTGCTAGACTTTTAAAAACTACTTCTTTTTTTTTAAAAAAAAGATTTATTTATGCACATAAGAACTGGGATACAAGCCAGAGGTGTGCAGGTGGAGGTGGAGGGGAGGATTCCCCAGAGACAGAGTGGGGTGCAGGACAGGCAGATCCACTGAAATCCACTGCTGAGGGGAGCAGTGGGGAGAAATGAGAGGTCTGCTGCACCATGTGGGGCAGCTCCCTGGCGGGGATTGAACTCAGGCTGCAGTGGCTGTGATAGCTTCACAGCGCTGCACTTTAACCCACTGAGCCACCAGGATGGTCCAGAAACCACTTTTGAATGCCTGTGTTAATACCATTTTCCTTCAGGTTCCTCAATTATTTCTTCAAAAACATGCTTGTACTTAGAATTTTTCAAAAATCTGTACAGGAACTTTGTACTTTATTGCAAACTAGTGAGTGTCTCCTTTGTTGCATGTAGAAGTCTTGAAGGAGGGAATCAGTCCTCTGGGCATTGAGCTCATTTTGTTTTCACAGAATCATTGGAACGCGATTTATCAAGAGTCTTGGCTCACAGGAGTTTGACATTGCTGGGAATGTTCTAGAACTGATCTACGTACAAACTCTGGTGTGGTAAGTTTGGGGATCTTCAATGTCCCCTTGGCTCCAGCTGACCGTGGACTGGGAGTGTCTGTGGCAAGCTCCAGAATCAGTTGTTTTCCAACGTACGTGTGTGAGATCAGATCCAATGAGTCTGAGAACCAAGTATGTATGTCCCAGGTTATTATTTTCCTTGATGGGGACTTGAGGCAAGAATCGACATAGAGCAGGATCCTAACCACTATGTAAAAGTCAGGTGATTTCACATAAAGCATGAAATTTCTGATTTCCTAGTTTGATATTTGACTGGGCCTTGAACTAGACTGAGTATTTCCAGTTTACCCTGCCCCCACCTGGAATGACTGCCTCCCCCAACATGGAGCTACCACCCATTTCTTGTTGCCTTGTGTTCATTTTCTTATGGTAAACAACTTTATTTCATTATGTTTTTAGTCATTTTTTTATTTATACAAGGCCAGAGGTATGGGGGAGAGAGGATCCACCAGAGACAGAGTGGGGAGCAGAACAGGCAGATGGACTGAAATCCACTGCTGAGGGGAGCAGCAGGGAGACAGGAGAGGTCTGCTGCTGTGGGTCAGCTCCCCTGACTGGGGATTGAACTCGTGCTGCAGTGGGGGTGGTGTATTTCTTTTACCTGGCCTGCTTCATTCACAGTACCAGGTGGTAAAACCTCTGTAGTCTTGGGGTGTAGATTTCTGAATGTGCATGTGTGTGTGCAGTTGTGAGTTTTGGTGATAGCCAGCCAGTTGCACCAAGTGTTGTCAAGCTCACTTGGAAACTCAAATCAATAATCTGCGAGTTATTTTTCCTTTTTTTTTTAAAAAGATTTATTTATTCATACAGAACTAGGGTACAGGCCAGAGTTATTTTTCCTTTTTTAATGTGATGTACTTAGTGCCAGAATTCTGCACGGTGTATTACATTCCAGGACTCATCTGTTAGTGGGTTGCCAATTTGCAGGCAGGGCATTTGAGTTGGATAACCTTGATTCTGGGGCCTGTTTTGTGACTAACTGAGGTCACTGAGCTTCCCTGAGCCTCATCCTCCTTATCTATGAAATGCACATAATAATTGTTGCCTTCAGAATGGTGTTGAGGATTAAGTCAGATGATATCTGAAAAGTCTCTCATATAACATAAACCTGCAAAGAGTTCTTTGTTAACTCTTTAAATTGCTCTGACCATTTGGCTGTCTGCAAACAACTCACATCAAAGAGTTTATTTTTAGAGGATGCAAAGTCTTATCTTTGGGTAGGTGAGCTGATGCTTTTGCACACTGCCAGGTCACCCCTGGCAACTGCCTGTCACCCAGCTTATAAAAGTCTGTCACCCATATCATCTCAACAAAAAGGATGCCTTTGGGCAAGTTACTTCAACTCTGCACACCTTAGTTTCCCACTCTAAAGTGTGGGGGTGGGAGGAGGTGGAGATAACAGTATCTGCTTCACAGGGTTTAGGTGAGGATTGAAAGAGCAACACAGGTAGTAAAATGCTTCTATTTACAGATTCAAGAACTAAGGTGTGCAGCATTAAAACTGTCTTTAAGGACCAACCAGGTCTCCAAGCGGCATTCTGAGAACTGGGGGTTGGGACTTCAATGGGGAGTCTGGGGAGGGCAGAGTTCAGCCCGTGACACTGCCCCCCTTCCCCTCTCTGATCCATCCCCCCCCCCCACCCCCGGTGTCTGACGGGTCTCTGACACTCACCCCTGTTCCTCCAGGATTGGAACCTTCTTCTGTCCCCTGCTGCCCTTTATCCAAATTATCACTCTCTTCATCATGTTTTACGTCAAAAACGTGAGTCGGTCTGCAGCGGGAATCAGATCAGTTTTGCTCAGTCCGCCATGACCCAGTGGTGGTTGGAAATGGGGGTGCGGGTGGGGGAGAGTTTCATGAAGCCAGTGTCTGGCCGGCTGGGGACCCTCTGACCCTCTGGCCACTGTGGCAGGTGCCTCCTCCTCTTTCCTCAGATCAGCCTGATGATGAACTTCCAGCCTCCCAGCAAGGCCTGGCGAGCCTCCCAGATGATGACGCTCTTCATCTTCTTGCTCTTCTTCCCATCCTTCACTGGGGTCTTGTGCTCCCTGGCCTTCACCATCTGGAGGTAAAATGGTAGCCTTGGGGAGAGGTCGGAGCGAGGGGGCGGGTGTTTTAAAATGTTGGGATTTTTTAAATTATTATTCTTATTTGGGTCTGATGAGGCTGCGAGAGACCCCAGGGGTCCTCTTTGAAGGTTCTGACCTCTTATAAAAGAATTTAACAAGAAGGCAAGACAGGCGGCATCCAGCCAAGCTGAATTGGACCCTTACAAGAGGGAGGCGCCCGGGAAGGGAGAGTCCTGGGCTGGCTCCCTCAGGGAAGTGTCCAGTGGCCGCCATGGGGCCAGCATGGCAGGGTGGGGTAACAGGGCCTGGGCTGGGCTGCCGGGAGGCACTCCCAGCTCCTATCCACCCTGAGTGTCTGCAGGCCGTGTGCTAGGGTTTAACCCGAGCTTCCTTGGTAACCAGCAAACAACACAACACAAGCAAGGGAGGAAATAGAGCCCAGTCTGGTCACCACCCATCAGGCGCCCAGGTCATGACTAGCACTTTCCTCACTTTCTGGAGGAGGAGAGGCCAGGCCCTGGATCAGAGCAGCACCTCGTGTGCATGCACTGAAGGGCCCTGCCCCATCGGGCTCCTTCCTCCCTGCTGGGCCTCCCACGGGCCTGGGACCTGTGCGCCCTCCCTGCGTGGGTGGGGCTCTGTGGGAGGTGCCCTCCTCACTCCTGGGGTTCAGCGGCCTTCTTCCTGCCCTCTGGTTCTCAGCTCCAGAGGCCAAGACCTCAACCCCTTGACCATCCTTATCTCCTTCCACCCTGTCTTTTCTGGGGGCACTTTCTGTTCTTCACCCCCAGTTCGCTTCCTATTGTTAGAAGCTTTGTCTTGCTGGTTGACCATCTTCCCAGCTAGAATGGAACCCCAGGAAAGCTGGGGCCACACTCCTCCGTCAGGATGGAATCTCCAGGGCAGCAAACCTTGGGGGAAGGAGTGGATGCATGAGAACTGAAGAAACAAGGGAGCTGAGTTTTAGGGTGCAGGCGGAACTGGACGGCAGGGGCTCGCGTGGCATCCGGGCAGGCTGCTCCCTCTGGCCAGGTCTGCTCCGTCTTCTGTCTTCTAGCCAGTGCCTATGGCCGCTTGTCTCTGCTTGTTCACCAATTTGCCTGCAAGTGACATTACAGGGGACCTCGGCAGCCATAGAATAGAGGGCCCCTCTTTGAGTTTCTTACTCCCACTTCCAAGAGAGCCAACCTGATTGCCCCTGCAAGGTTCCCGGGACCCCACACCCAAGAGGCTGCTGCCCGGTCTTTGGACTGTCCTGCTGGAGCAGGTGTTTCCTGTTGGGAGCCGGCTGGGAGGCTCAGGCGCACCAGCCGAAGGGACTGAGGTCTCCTCTGGAAGTGGGGGAGGAGCAGGCAAGAGGGGCGTGCTGCTTCTAGAAGTAGCTACTACCCTATCTTGTGCTACTCTTTTTTTTTTTTATTAAACAACTTTTTTTTAAAAAAAGATTTATTTATTCATACAGAACTGGGGTACAGGCCAGAGATGTGGAGGGTGAGAGGCTTCACCAGAGACAGAGTGGGGAGCAGAACAGGCAGATGGGTGAAGTACACTGCTGAGGGGAGCAGCGGGCGGGTCAGGAGAGGTCTGCCGCGCCATGTGGTCACCTCCGGGGCAGGCGGGGATCGAACTCATGCGGAAGTGGCTTTAGCTTCTCAGTGCTGTGCTTTAACCCACTGCGCCACCAGGGAAGCCCTGTGCTACTCTTTTTTTTTTTATATAAGATTTATTTATTTACGCTTACAGAACTGGGGTATAGGCAGATGTGCAGGGGGTGAGAGGATTCCCCAGAGACAGAGTGGGGAGCAAAGGCAGATGGCCTGAAACACACTGCTGGGGGGAGCAGCGGGGAGACAGGAGAGGTCTGCTGCGCACTGGGGGTCACTCCCTGGCTGGGATGGAACTCGTGCTGCAGTGGCTGTGGCCAGCCTCATAGTGTTCACAGTGCTGCGCTTTGCCTGCTGGCCAGCAGGGAGACCCCTCTTGCTCTGCTCTTAGCAAAGCCGCCTTTCCGCCTTGCTTTACCAGCCTGCACCCCTCCGCCCACTGCGGCCCGTTCCAGGGTCTGCCCTACATCATCCACTCCATCTACGGCTGGATCGACACCCTGAGTAAGAGGCCCAGCTACCTGTGGGTGGTTTGGATCTACCGGAACCTCATCGGGAGCGTGCACTTCTTTTTCATCCTCACCCTCATTGTGCTGTAAGTGGGGTCCTGGGGAAGCCAGGCGGGGAACAAGTCACCAGCATGACATGGGATGTGGGTGGGGCCCGGGGCCCTAGTGTATCTCATTCTCCTAGAAGATCCTCACCTGCTCTTGTGCTAAAAAAAAAGAAAAAAGCTATAATTTAATATTGTCTTGCCCTAGTTATTATTTTTTTTGGCCTGTTTTATGAAGAAAGCAATACAGTTCCAGCTCTGCCCCCTCTTAAGAGATAACATGCTAGTACAATTAAAAAAAAAAAGAATATGAAAATGCCTGGGGAAGTTTTATGGTGATTCTGTCTGAGGTTGTGCTCTGTTAAGTTAGGTTGGGAATTGTTGATATATAGGATAGTGTAATTTTTTTAAGATTGATTTATTTATGCATACTGAACTGGGGTACAGGCCAGAGGCTCAGGGGCGGTGAGAGGCTTCACCAGAGACAGAGTGGGGAGCAGAACAGGCAGATGGGTGAAGTACACTGCTGAGGGGAGCAGGGCTGAAGAGGCCTGGCTAGCTTTGCAATGCTGCGCTTTAACCTGTTGCGCCACCAGGGGGCGCCCTGTAATCTTATTCAAAAAATAGTAAGATGAGCTTTTGCCTTGCAGTGAATTAGTAGAAGCTCTGCCGACTGCGTGCTCTCCTGTGTGCACAGGTCGGTTGGCAGATGGAGGGCTGCTGCTCTAGAGACCTGGCCGGGGCACCTACGCCGGCAGCCCCTCACATTAGCGAGGCACAGCTCCAAACACGGTCTGGGTCAGCCGGTGCATGTAGCTGGTAGCGCAGCCCTGGAAGGTTCCATGGTGCATTAGCAACACCACAGTGGTAAAGACAAGAAACAGGAGTCACGGAGCAGGCAGTGGGGTCAAGATGGGCCATCGCTGTGTCCGTTTTCTTGGCAGAGAAGGGTGGGTCCACTGAACGCAGGATTCTGGGCTTTCGGGAGGGTGAGTCCAATCATGAACGCCGGCTCCGTCGGTGGTTGCAGTCTTTCTAACAAGGTGTTCCCCTGACCGGTCCCTGGGGCACGAAGCACATCAGTTACCAGCCCTCAGGCGTTTCTGGTCAGGCCTCTGGATGGAAACCTATCACCCCAGGGCGACGGAGTGTCCTGCTTTTGTCTAACCTGGGAGGAGCCTTGTAGGGACACGTGCAGCAACAGATGGGCCTGATCAGAACTCCAGAGATCTGCAGGGAGGTGCCGGCCTCAGAGCCTGCTGCTGATATGGGTTTGAACCCAGGTCCCCTTGCTCTCAGCCAGGCCCTCCTACTGACGCTAATTTCTGTTTGGCCTCAGAAACTCACCAGAGAACCTGACAGAAAGGCTAAATCTCAGCCCTCCTGTGCAGAGCTACAGAACCAGAATCTGCACTTTAACCAAATCCTAGGCAGTTTGTAACCCATTGAAGTTTGAGCCTCACTGTCCAGACTCACAGAACGTACACATTAGAATCATGTGCGTTTAGAAAAATACTGATGCCTCTTCAATGTTCTCACATCCGATGAAAGTGATAATTCTGATGTGAGGGAGGTGTCAGCTAACACGGTGGCGGTGACCACATCTGTTGCCACATATAAATGGATCCAGCCAACATAGCCGTATCCCTTGAACACACAAGCAGTGGTGTTTGTTGACGCTGCGTCATAAAACTAGGTCGAGGTGGGGATTGCATAACCACATAAACTTACTCAAAGTCCTTGAACTTACAATGAGTGAGCTTTGGGGCATGTAAGCTGCACCTCAATAATAACGAAGAAAAATACTGCCACCTGACCCCAGGCCCTGGGGAGCCCAGGGAATTGATCAGGTGAGGGGCGGCGGGCTGGATCTTTTCCCCTCTTCCCAGGTGGTTCTACACACAGCCAGGTCAAGGACGGCTGCTCCCAGGTAGTTCCCCTCTGTCTCACCAGACACAGCTCTGCAGCCAAAGTCCGTTTGCAAGCAGATAGTCCAGATCCGTGCACCCAGGTGAAATTCCGCGCCCACAGCACCTTGGCACGAGTGTCTGTCATTTCTTTCAGAATGATCACCTATCTCTACTGGCAGATCACAGAGGGAAGGAAGATCATGATCAGACTGCTCCATGAACAGATCATCAATGTGAGTCCACCCCCCTTTTTTTATTTTTAAAGATTTTATTTATTTGTGCCTACAGAACTGGGGTATAGGCCAGAGGTGCAGGGGTGGTGAGAGGATTCACCAGAGACAGAGCAGAACAGGCAGATCTACTGAAATACATTGCTGAGGGGAGCAGCGGGCAGGTCAGGAGAGGTCTGCTGTGCCATGTGGGTCACCCCAGGGCGGGGATCAAACTTGCACTGAAGTAGTTACGGCTTGGCTAAGCTTCACAGTGCAGCGCTCCAATCTGCTGCCCACCAGGGAGGGCCTGTCCTCCCCCCTTCTCAAAACTTTGTAAAGTGGGAAATTCCAAACGTGCTCCAGAACAGGTGGGGCCTCTCTTTATTTCAGCTGTCGAAGTTATCTGTGTTGGTGGAGTGGACCCAGATAAGGCTCAGGTTGGGAAAGAGGAAAGGAAGGGAGGTGCCCTGCACAGGAGAGGCCTCACATCCCGTGACTGTGGCAGGCCAGGAGGGAGCCGGCCAGGATGGTCTGACCGTCCAGGTCAATCCCATTTCCAGTGCTCTAGCGTCTCCTTAAACTTTCACCCAGGAGTTTTAGCATCCACCAGTGGATCAAGAAACAATGTTTCTTGATTTTTTCTTTCCCCCATTCCTCCTGTATTAGTTAGTTGGAGTTATGTAAAGAAGTGCTGACCATGGGAGTTGATATTTTTAACAAATTCCCCAGCTGTCTTGGATAGAGTCAACTTGTTTACAAACCTCTGGTCTGTAGCAGCTGTTTTCATACTCTAATTAGAATTAATTAGAGTTATCTGGAGAGCTTGCAAAAATGCAGACTCCAGGCTTTACCCAGCAGATTTTGATTCAGGGAGGCAAAGCTGCATTGCAGTTAACAGCGGTTTCTGCGTCTCCGTTCAAATTCCACCATTTACCAGCACTGTGATTTGGGGCCCATAGCTTCACTTGGTAAGCTTCGGTTTCCTTGATTTGAAATAATAGGGAGCCGACCCACAGAGTGCAGCAGGCCTCTCCTGTCTCCCCGCTGCTCCCCCCAGCACTATATTTCAGTTGATCCACCTGTTCTGCTCCCCACTCTGTCTCTGGTGAACCCTCTCACCCCTCCCCCCGCACCTCTGGCCTGTACCCCAATAAATAAATATTAAAAAAAAAACAACAACACTCAAGGCACAACCGAGAGACTGACCACCGCCTGGCTAGTACCTGAAAGTAAGGTATTACCAGCTTCCTTTTAGGCAAGATGACAGTATTATGATTCTGTTGTTTCTTTTTTTTTTTTTGAAAGTCTATATGTACTAGGCATGCAGACATTTTTACAAATAAAATAATACAAAGTCTACAATGGATAACCCAGAGATCGGTAGTGAAAGCTGTGCAGATGAAGTGAGGGTTGCAGAGTGGTCGCCGGGCTGGGGGCTGAGCTGACCTGGACGGTCAGACCATCCTGGCCGGCTCCCTCCTGGCCTGCCACAGTCACGGGACGTGAGGCCTCTCCTGCGGAGGACACCACCCTTCCTTTCCTCGTTCCCATCCTGAGCTTATCTGGGTCCACTCCACCAACACAGTTAACTTCAACAATTGAAACATAGTCTATGGGGCCCTCCCTGGTGGCGCAAGGGGTTAAAGCGCAGCACTATGAAGCCAGCTGCAGCCACTGCAGCCACGAGCTCCATCTCCCTCCAGGGTGGTGACCACACGGCCCAGCAGACCTCTCCTGTCTCCCCACTGCTCCCCCCAGCAGTGTATTTCAGTCCATCTGCCTGCTCTGCTCCCCACTCTGTCTCTGGTGAATCCTCTTACCCTCCCTACTCCCACACCTCTGGCCTGTACCCCAGTTCTTGATAAATAAAATTTCAACAACAACAACAAAAAAAAAGGCAGAAGAAAACATGGCATAGTCTCTCTTCAACGTGGAGTGACCTGCCTAGAAACATACCTTTCCATATTTGCTTCTCAGCCCCACGTCATCATTCATCCTCCCTCCTGGGTTTCTTGTTTTGCTTCCTGGCAGGAGGGCAAAGATAAAATGTTCCTGATAGAAAAGTTGGCCAAACTGCAGGAGGCGGAGAAGAGAGCAAGCCCTGCCAGCACTGCTGTGCCGGGAAGAAGACACGTGCAGGTGAGGCTGGAGGCTGCCCCCTCAGGGCACGTCACTTCCTGTGGCTACACACGTCTGCATGCGTTACTTAACAAGCACTGCTGCTCTAATTCAAATTAGTGCTGTCAGCATGAACTAGATAAAGGATCCAGGCCCAGCCTGCACCCATGAAGCCGGGACACGTCTCCCCTTGAGCCCAGGGGGGTGCCCTGCACACACACAACCTGTCAGGCAGATTGTGCTGCACAGTAAACAGCTGAGAAATGAACACACGTGTGGAGCCTCTTTCTGCGGGTGCACCGTGGTCCTGATGGTCACATCTCGATGTTAAAGTGGCGGGGGGTTGGGGAGCCGGCTGCCCAGTCTCACCAGCTGTGCCACGGGTCTGTGTTCTCCTCCAATGATGAAGCTGCCTGCTTGCTTCTTTTTCAGCACGAGGACCCAATAGTCCATATGGAGGAACAGGACGCTGCTCATGGTGAGTAACCAAGCTGGCCCCGAGGGAGAAGCTGTTTATCCAGATGGCAGGTCCGAGACGAGGGGCAGAGCTGCCGCCGGCCTCTGAGCCACTCCGTCCCATGCACTGACCCAGGGCCGTGCTGGCCAATCCCAGAATAATTCCTGCATTAGGTGTGCCTGGAAGCTAGGTCCTTTCTGTGCAGTTCTTTCCCATGTTTGCTCTTTTCTCAAATGAGCTCTGTTATAATAATTGCAAGACCGCTTGCCAGCTTCTAATATATATATGTGTATATATATATATTTAAGATTTATTTATTCATGCATACAGATCTGGGGTACAGGCTAGAGGTGCAGGGGCGTGAAAGGACTCACCAGAGACAGAGTGGGGAGCAGGACAGGCAGATCCATGAAGTCCACTGCTGAGGGGAGCAGTGGGCGTGTCAGGAGAGGTCTGCCGCGCCCTGTGGGTCACCCCCTGGCTGGGGGTCGAACTCGTGCCTCAGCAGCTTCAGCCAGCTTCAGAGTGCTGAGACTTAACCCACTGCACCACCAGAGGGGCTCAGCTTCTCACACCTTCAGAGTCCATCTTGGGAAGAAGGCAAGACTCAGATTCTGGGTCTGATCGTGATGTGCCTGTCTGGTTGTTTCGGTCATGAACATGATTTCACCTAGGTCTGGGTTTCACCGGTAGGCACAGGTTCTCCAGCCACACCGACCGCGGGGACTGGACGGGAGGAAGGTGATTTCCCAAAGGAAATCCGTGGCCGGATCCAGGAGGGGAATGACCACTGGGAAACAAGCCGCTCCACCCTTGGGTAGTGTGAATTACAGAGCCCACTGATGGAGCAAAGGGGGAGAATGGAAGAAACCGAAAAGGAAGAGGCAGAGGGCCCTGAGGAGCTGTGGGACCTGAGGGCCAGTCTCCCGCCTGTGGAGAGAGGGGAGGTTGTGTGCTGATTTCTGTGCTGACTACTCTCTCCTGTGTCAAACTCAGAACTTCGACTACGGCAATGGGCTCAAGAAGGTCATCCAATGATGTGATGATTACTGTGCAGGCCAGTCACCAATCAAGGGACAGAAGCCAGAGATGGAACCACTTCCAGGACACCTGGGCCGTTCGGAGCTTCTTAGAAGGGAAATTCAAGCCACCTGCCAGGAGTGGGCTCCCCCACAGTGTGAATACTGAAGTGGATCAGGCATTCCCTGCTGATTTTTTATACCTCAATTGCTGATTTCCCCAAACAAAATATTTGGGCTTTTCCAATAAAGACTGTTGTAATATTTAAACGAGTTTCACAGAAACCTTGGAAGAGATAACTCAGAACGATGTGTTTTATCTTCGGGAGGCATGCATGAGAGTTATGGGTCTTAGCAATATCTCCTCTTAGTCCTCCCTGACCTGGCAAAGGATTAAAAACTGGTGCTACAGAAGTGGTCCCGCCTGAATAAAAATGTGATTTGCAGCCAGGGATGTGATACCTCTCAATTGTGGAACCTGCTGTGGCCATGGTTTGAACTACAAACGTGGCCATGGTACCCAGGGGCAAAGTCCAGAGCCCCTGCCTGTGACCTTTGTTGCTCAGGAGGACATGTGTTTGCAGCTGGACTGGTCTATGGCTGGGACTCGGCCCCACGACAGCACAGTCCCATCTGCAGCCAACTGTGGGTGAGTGGGGATGTGGGAGCAGCTATGCCGGCAGGCACAGGGCGGGTTCACAGGCGATTTGGGCAGGCAGAGTCCAGGGGCCTCGGTGGACTTTTCAGGCCTTAGTGCTCTCTCAGGGAACCAGGTACACAAGCGCTCCACGCAGGCACATCGGGGGGCGTGTAAGGGGGAGGGGTACCTGGGAGCCCCCCACAAGCCTCTCTGCTCCCTGTGGCGTTCTCTCGTGGTCTCACCTCTCCTGTGGTCATGCCTCCGCCTCTGAGTGAGGCCCCCTTGCAGCCCTGGCCGCTAGGCTCGGGGATACTCATCCATTTAACCTACAAGTGGTGATGTAGGGAACAGTATTTATACAACACGAGCGTGGCATGAACATGCATTTATCTATAACGTACATAGACGCATGTCTATATAACATTCTTCTTGTAGATTTGCTAAATGATTCTCAAGGCACGTGACTACTTACAACAGAAGGGTTAGCAAGAGGTGCACTTAACAATCACTTAAGTGGAGACGTCTCCTTTTGAGTAATCACCAACCTGGGGACCAGAGGAACTGAATTTAGAAAACATTCAAAAGCATCTGAAGCACAGACATCCAGTCAGTGCCTGTTCTGTTCTGCCGCCCCAAACCCTGCCCACAGAAATAAGTCCAGCCCAGAATAAGTGAAGAAAGTTTATTTGCTCCCGGGCAGCGGACACAGTAGGGTCTGAGAGTATCCCTGGGCGACTACAACTTGCCAGAAGGGTTTTAGAAGTTTATACAGAGGCCGATGTAACCCAAGGGGAGGGGAAACCCACATTCCGAACAGCTCGACCTTGGCCCGCACGACGTTGCTGGTCCACGTGGAACTTCGCAGCTTCTCAAGACTCCCTGCACTCCGAGAACAAAGCCTTGCTCATCTCTAACTTTGGAGGCCCGATAGCGGAGGCCCTGACATTGCCTCATTCACTTTTTATCCGCTCATGCACTTTCTCAACTGAGCTAATACTCCTTGGGATCATCTTTGCTAGTGATGAGTGTCCCTTCATTCAACGAGTGCCAGGAGGGGAGACTGGCTGTGAACAAGATATGCCAGCTCAGGTGCGTACTGCGCGTGGATTTAGGTGAGAACTTAAGTAATAAATCACTGCCACTACAGATGTTGTGAAGGAGAAGTTGGGGGCGGTGGGAGAGTAGCAACAGTGAAAACATGTTGGGGCCTCTCTGGTGTCTGCAGTGAACTGCAACCTCCCTCTGAAAACGCGAAAATGCGTTTGGCCGACAACACACCAGGGCTTCCTCCCAGAGGGCCTCTCCACTCTTCCTCTTCACAAGACCCCTTGAAGGCCGAGGGGCCTCCTCCTCTGCCCCCCACCCAGCCACTATAAGGACAGGACAAGTCTTTAGGCTTTTGCTGGCTGTAGCCATCCAGTGTGGCAGCGGATGGCACCCTTTGCTTCTCGAAGGAATGTGATGATTTTGTGTGGTTTACTTAGTAAAGGAGTCATCAACTTAGCATACAGCTGACACGTTTTTATAAGCTTTGAATTGAGGACCGGTGGTAACCATTAGGCTCGTTAGTAGGACTTTGCTCATCCTCATAACACTAAATTCTTGAAAGGTGCAACGTTTTCACAGCACATGCGTGCCCGGTCACTGACAGATCCGGCTCAGGTGCGGAGCGCAGGCACGCCCTGCCTGACCAGGGCAAGGCCTTCTGCCCGCCCCTCTTCCAATCCGCAGCTTTCCCACTTTAATCACCTGGGGACCTCGTTGGAAAGCAGGTTCCGACTTGCGGCTGGGGCCTCGGCGGGTCAGCGTGTGGCCGAGCGCCGCTGCTGTCCAGACTGTGGCCCGGGATGCTCAGCTGTCCTGCCAGCTGCGGCGAGTTGGTGAGTTGGATGCTGGCCTGCAGGTCGCTGGCCAGCTCCAGGGCTTGTTGGCCAGCCGTGTTGGCATGTTGGATGAGTGATTTTTGTTTAGGACTTTTGTTGTATTTGTACTGAATGGAGGCTGGGGTGGGGGAAATGTAAGGGTGAGAGGGGAGGGACTGCAGTTTTAAGGATTTAGCTTCATTGTAAATGTTGCTGATTAACTTCACTAGGGGTCCTGGAAGCTCACCCGGCAAAGCCCACAGAGCTGGAGTCAGGGCGGTTTTAAAGGCAGGCAGGGCACTGACCGGCTGGGCTCTGGAGCCACACCCGCCTCGATTTAAACCCCAATTGCAGCAAGGAATTTGAGACCTTGGGTGAGTGACGTTAGCCTTGCAGAGCTCCAGTTTTATCAGTAAAAGGAGAGTAAGACCTCTGAGAGTTTTGTGATGGTTGAGGTTATGCGTATTCAATCACTGAAGTTTCTGACAAACAGAAAACAAAGACTTTTACTTATAACATCAGGCTCTACTGTGTCACTGGCTGTGTCATTTCTGAGAAATATCAGAAATGGTTTTTGTAAAGTGAGGATAAGCCTAGATGTTCCTGGAAGTCTCTGCATCAGAATTGTTGGGATCGTCCTCAGTAGAGGGCCTTGGAAAAGCACAACTCTGCCCCCTCGCGGCTGGCAGCTCTTATTTCAGGTTGCTGGAAGAATCCATGGAAGGGCTGCCAAGACTTGACACCTTCCATGCCCCCAGGGATTGCTGACAGCAGCCTCCCTAAATTCTTTGCCTTAGTATATGATGCTTGGACCCACTTTTCCCTTCGTGCTCCTATTAATGATTTTATTAGTATGGTCACAAGTTTGATGACTACAGTACATTGATAACATAGCTGAATACAAATATTTTAAATAAGCAAATTCCATAAGTGTGGCAAATTTTAAAATGTCAACAGAGTGATCATGCATCTCCCATGCATTTGCCTCTGCACCCCAAACAGCACCACTTAGTCTGTGCTTGTCCCCGCTGGGCCCTGGGGTGTGCTCTGCCAGGCGGGGGCAGAGCTGTTGTGCCTTTCTGCAGACCCAGGGTTTCAGAAGCAACAGTGGAGTGCAGGCATTCCATGGAGGCAGCCCCAGGTCTGGCTTGGGGTTCTTGTAAAAATGCAACTACCACCTATTGCTTGTGTGGGCCCCTGGTCCCGGGGCTGGGGCCAGTACACAGGGTGAGTTGGCGTCCCTGGCCCCGGGGCTGCGGCCAGTACAGAGGGTGAGTTGGTGCCCTGGCCTGAGGGCTGGGGCGAGTACACAGGGTGAGTTCGTGCCCCTGCAGGAAGCTGGCAGGAAGCGTCTGTACTGCGTTCCCTCCCTGTGGGAATGTTAAAACTGAGATGCACAGTCTTCCAGCAAGCTGTCAGTAATATAGCTGGACGCGAGATGGGTTTCGTAGTACTTTTTTTCATCAAAGCTATTAACAGTCCAAGCAACAACGTGAATGCCTTTACTTGACCATTTCTTCAAGTAGTCCCTGGAGAAAGAGGGCAAACCAATGCTGTCAGAACAATGACCAGCGGCCCAGAATGTGTGCCTCATAGCAAGTGTTTGTGGAGTACCAGTAGTGCCCAGAAAGCAGCTCTTAACTGGCCTCGGCACTGTGATCACAAGCATCCCACAGCTCCCCCTAATGCACCCCCCCCCAGCTTCCCACATACTTCAGAGTTCAGAGGCTCATGAATGACACCCCAGCCCCCAAGTCATCTGGAGGCTGCACAGCCCAGTCCCACCAGTCTGTGGGCCCTGACTACGCTGCATTCCCTCTTTCTTTCTTGTATTGCAAGGTGATTTTCTTCCTATTACCTGAAAGAACCAGGCTCCCCCGGCACAACACGTTTGCACGTGTTTTCTTCTCACTTGGACCACCCCACCCTCCATGCCCACTCCCCACCCCCTTGGGAGCTCATCTTAGCTGTCTGCTTCCTTGGGGAGGTTCTCCCCCCACCCCTTTCCCCCGACTGGGCAGTTACACAGCCTAGTGAGAGGCTCTCTCCTATACAGCATTTATCTTAGTGATAATTTTGTATTCATTGTAGTTTTGTTTGATCAGCACCCGTCTCTGCCATTCAAATATAAACTACAAAAGGGCAGCCCCAAACTGTGTTGCTTTACCACTGTGTCTTCGGCTTACTCTAGTCCCCGGCATTACTACAGGCAGGCACCAAGGAGGAGCTGAGCTGAATACATGCATACCCAAAATAAAGTGGGAGTGACAACCATCACCAGCTGAAATACACAGCTCCAAAGTGCCAGCAGACACAGAGGGCTAGGGAATGGAATGTTTCTCGAATGTGCTGGAGCAGAGCTGGAAGGCGAGTTAGGCGGCCATGGGACGGCTCCCCATGGCTCTGCCCTCGATGCTCTGGTGGTTTCCCCAGGGAGCCAGGTACAAGGAAATGCAACCCCCTCTAGCTTCACAGTTGGGCAGACTTACTTTTTCTTTAAGTTGTACTAAAACCCAAGGATATTTGATCAACTTGTTTTGGGAACTGAAATATGCCAAACTCTTTCCTAAGAAACAAGAGACATTTGACTTAATAAAGGCGCAGTGGGCTTTGGGGCTCACAACTAGTCCAGGTCGTCCACTGTGACTCCTTCCTTTCAAAGATGAACATTCAGGAAATGTGTCAGGAGAAGGTCAAAACAAACAAAACCTCGTAACTTACGGGGATATAAAATCCTTTTGCATGAGAAAAGCTGAAACTCCACACAGGTACCACAAAATATTATGCAGGCTCCAGTCGAGCAAAATGTCCAACACCACAAATACAGAGTGTTTCCAGAAAGAGTCATAGCGTGGTTTCCCATCTCCTGTGTGGCTGAGGCTCCACGGTCTGTGAGTCAAAGCTGTCACGACATTCTGATCTATTTGTCTCATCTGAAAAGGAATTTCAGAAAATAACCATCACAGCTTAAGACCAGCATCTCTCATGAGATTTAGCCAATGAGCTCATGCTGACAAGGTGGTCAGAGCTGGTACCTGCCTCCTGGACCACTAAGTACGCTGTCGTAAGAATGGGGTGGACAGCAAGCATATAATATGTGGAGAAGGGGGAACAGGAGCTTCATAACTCTAGAGGAAATGCAATCCTCCTATCTTCCACATGAAAAAATTACTATCCAGGGTCAAATCTGAATCGTGTCCTGAGAATAGACTTTCAGCTGGACTGGCATTTAAATTCTGGTCAGATACACGTCACTGGAACTCAGAGTGGACTCATGGTCCTTTCAAGATGGGCTGGTCAGCTTCCAGAGAAAATGACTGGAAAAGCATTGTGGGGTGGTGCACAGTGAGCAGGAAATGAGGTGGGGGGCAAAGATGATGAGAAATGGGGAGATGAGGGCTCTGTGTACCTTGAGAGGTGCCACACGCTTGGAAGCCCTCGGAGGCCAAGAGAGTTTGGGAAGCGCTGGGCACTTGTCTGCAAGCTGGAGCCCCCCTCATGTCAGTGACAGCTCACAGCTGGGCAAGTGCCCGTCTTACCAGAAAGTCTGAGCTGTGCGCTGTGTGGGTCACTGCTGGAGAAGCTATAGCATCAACTCATTATTTTGGAAACTGAGCAATAAAGGGAAAAAGTAAAGCAAGCATTTATCTGCCTATCGGATAAATGAAAGACGAGCAGTTTCTTTTTACAGAAGTATTCTAGCTCCCATGAAAAGGAAAATGACAGAATTAAAAATAACCTGTTGCAGCCGCTTGAGTTTAAAAATAAACCAGAGCTGGCTGCTGGCATTAAGTGGTGCCTGGCAAATGGCACTGTGCGCCACCTAGTGGAAAAGTACACTCACACCTACAAGATCTCAAAAAAAAATCTTGCAAAAATAAATGAACCTGGGCCCTCCCGGGAGGCCAAGGGGGTTAAGCACAGCACTGCAAGCTGCTCCACCCCTGCCCTGCAGGTGACTCACATGGCGACCCACATGGCGCGGCAGACCTCTCCTGACCCGCCCGCTGCTCCCCTCAGCAGTGTACTTCCTCGATCTGCCTGTTCTGCTCCCCACTCTGTCTCTGGTGAAGCCTCTCGCCGCCCCTACACCTCTGGCCTTACCCCAGTTCTGTATGCATAAATACATAAATCTTAAATAAATAAATAAATAAATGAACCTAATATGATGAAGTGTTTGGTTCTCACTATCAATGTACAGGAAATGGAAAAGATTGTGCTAAACTGTATTGTGGTACGATTAACAAAACCCAGACTTGGGTAAAATTTACAAAACAGCCTGGTTTCTTCAATATAGACAAGTTAAGAAGAAAGGAGAGAACATACAGATCTTACAATTTAAAATTAAAACACAGTTCTTAATCAGTCCTGATTCAAATGAACACTGTAAGAGACAAAAACCATTTATGGTACTTCTGAGACAGATGACAAATTATACTAACTGGATATTTGATGAGTTTAAGGAATTATTGTCAATAGTTTCAGATGGGCTAACAGTATTGTGCTGGTGTTTTTTGTCCCTTATTTTTTTATTTTGTGTAGAACTGGGGTATAGACCAGAGGTGCCAGGGGTGAGAGAATTCACCAGAGACAGGGTGGGAAGTGGAACAGGTGGATCCACTGAAACACACTACAGAGGGAGCAGTGGGGAGACAGAAGAGGTCTGCTGAGCCATGTGGGTCACTCCCTGGCTGGGATCGGACTCAGTCTGTAATGGTCATAGTGCTGAGACTTAACCTCTAGGCCACCAGAGAGGCCCCTTTAGTCACTTTTTAAAGATACTTACTGCAATTTTTTCACCATGAAATGATATGAGGACGATTAGGATAAAAGGGCATGTGGGTGGAGCAAAGTAGACCACGGAGAAGGTCCTTGGTGTCACTATCGGCCTTAATGCATCATGAAAATTCTTCCTAAATTAGTTTTATTCCAAAGGGATTTTACTTAGTGAGATGCAGAACAATATAATTCTTACTGTCCTGGGGACATTTACCAAAGTTATCTGAGTAGGCCTATAAACAACATATGAGAAGCTAGAAAAGAATCTTGGGGTGTGAGTACATTCCCCTCTTGAATGTCCCTTGTTAATTTAAAAGAGGAATTTCTCTACTTATCCAGTTCGATTTAACGGGTATTATCTAAATCTTACTTAGCCCACTGCTATTACCACCAGCTGACATAACGTTGTACACAAGATAGCTGAGTTTTACCTTATAAATAACTTCTGGCAAGAAAGAGCAGACTATACTCTTATTGTATAGTTGAGGAAACTCCATATAAATTTTCTTTAGGGCATCAGTAGCCTGTAAAACAGATTCATGCATTTTAAAATCTATTAAAATACAATTATCCCAGCTAATAGCTACTATAAATTATAACACTTTCAAATAAATCATAAATTTGTAATATATGCAGATATTGAAAGGGATATTAGTGGATTCCATTATCCCTTGGGATACCTTTAAGTTCATGTCTGCTGCAGAAAAAAAAGTGAGGGGACTGCTGTTTCACTATTTTGCTGAGAAGTTCACCCCTTTTGTCATATTTTTGGAAGTATGGCAGATTGCAGGCCAGTGGCAACTGGAAACAAGACTTCAAAACAGTCTCTTTATACCTAGTGCAGTCACTGGGAACGTCCTTTCCTGCCCACAAGTCCATGACCCTCTGCCTTTCCCAGATGAAGCATAAGCCAACCAGCACGGGAGTACAGAGGCAGAATTTCTCAGCCCAGGGACAGAGAGGAAATGCCATCTACAACCAAGAGGAAGGCGGAAAAGCAAGGGACAGGAGGAGCTGGGAGAACCGAAGCTGCTCAGCTCTTCCCCAGGTGAACAATAGTTTCCTCGTGTGGAAGTCCAGCTAATAAATGAACAAGAAATGACAGCATATTTTTTGCAACCTTTAGTGAACAAACAGATTTGGCTGGTGAGCACGAATAGCAGAAACTAAAAATAACAAGAGTTGACCTGAATCGACCTTACTACATCACGATTCTTAAAAATTGGCCAATTTGTGGAAGCTCACACATACCTATACCAAATATAAGGTAAACTGCATTTCGAAAAAGAAAAAAAACACAGACCCTACTCATGTCAGGCTTCCCCTTTCCTAATGTAATGGAGTGTGAGAAACACAAAGTTGTTTTCTTGCTGAGTGAGCTAATAGGCACTGTGTGTAACTTCACCAAGGCTATTTGGTCTCAAGGATACAAGCTGATCAAGGTTAAGGTCACACTGTGGGAAGGGACAGAGCTTAGCCACGGTCTGCTGGTTTCCAAAGCTCATGGTCTTTGGCTTCTGTGCTTGACCATGTCCAATCTGCTGCCAAAGCTTGTTCCTTCAGGCAGCCATTTTGGTGCATCAGACCACTATGTTCTAGCGAGTATGCCCCAGATCGCCTGTGGGCACCCAACCAGAATGTTCAAATAGCTGTACTTAAAAAAAAAAAAAAAAAAAAGTGCTTCTTTTATCCTTGACTTATCCTAAGGCAGTGAATGTGACGGTCAGTGCTCTGATCCTCTTGCCATGGGTCCGGTCTGGGGCCTACATGAGACACGTAACCTGTCAGCCAGCCTCATCTGCTTTGTTTCCATTTTCTGAATCCTTTTCATAAGGTTACTTGAGTGGTCTGTTCAAGAAGTGCCTTTTTATTGATAACTTATTACCTTTTATAAATGCGTCATGCAAGTAAGGAAACCTGACATCAATTTTGTGTGCCAGCTAAGAATGTAAAGAGTTGTTGAAAGGTTTATTAAAGGTTAAAAATACCTTATACCATAATTACACTGTCCTTAACGATGTGGGTTTGTGTATTGCACCCTTCTATTTAGCTGATATATATTAGGTGTAAAAATAACTTAAGAATAAACAAAAAATATAGTAAAATTTAGAAATGGCTTAAAGTTCAATGTCTTAAAGAAGTGAACTGTGTGTGATATAAACTGTACCATATTTGCATGGCCTTTGACATCAAAGAAGATTGTGAGGTTATGGATTAGGCACTCTGCAACGGCTTCCTTCAGGGTGGGGATCTTTTCATCAGGGAAGTCATTCCTACAAGAGAGGGAAAAGGAATAGCACATGGTAGGAAAAAAGAAAAATATGAAAGTTTAGTGGAACAGACACTGGGCAAATGTCTCCCAATCAAAAGGAAAGTGTTTCCCCACCCTTAATCATACAAAAATGTTTTCCGAACCAAAGTGATTTCCTTCCTTCAGCCATAGCAAAGTCCAAGGATAACTCACTATACTCACTTGAACTGAATTACAGGTATTCCTGAGAAAGAGAACAGCAACAACAATAATCCAGTAATTTTTAGGAAATAACTAGATTTCTATTGAATTAATGTAAATTAGTCACACTGTTCACAAAGGTTAGACAGAGTACATGCCACTTCCAGAGAGGCAGAGACTCCATTTAAGATTGTAATTGCCCGTATAGAACCCTGTATGAAAGAAAGTTCTCAGAATACATAAATCTGTTAATTGTACAGTATATTTGTTTTAAGTGCAACTTTAAAATAAATAATTTGAAAACATGATTTTTGGATAAGGAAAAGGTAAGTAAAAAGTCAGCTTTAGGACCTTTAAAAAAAAAAGAGAATTTAAGGCAAATCCTTCCACCATCCTACTCAATGTCTATTTCCTGGGAGAGAGAAGAAATGTTAACTGCTAACTCCCTGGCCAGTCTTAGCCCCCACACCCGCCTCTCAGGACGCGCGTCTCACCACAGTGAACGTGCTTGTAGAGAACGCACCCTTTCCTTCGTGGGTCCCCACCCACAAGCCTTCCCCTGGTGTCCCAGCAAAGAAAGCACCTCTGCTCTCACTGCGGGACAAGACCAGTGTTCAAGACATAAAGACATAGGCTGCCTGACATCAGGACTCCAACAGATTTTTTAAAAGATATATTTATTTATCCATACAGAACTAGGGTACAGGCCAGAGATTTGGGGGGTGAGAAAGGATTCCACAGAGACAGAGTCAGGAGCACAACAGACAGATCCACTGAAATACACTGCTGAGGGGAGCAGCAGGCCAGTCAGGAGTGGTCTGCTGCGCCATGTGGGTCACTCTGGCCGAAGATCAAACTCGTGCTGCAGTGGCAGCAATAGCTTCACAGAGCTGTGCTTTAACCCGTTGCACCACCAGCGAGGGCCCTCCTACAGGATTTTTAAGGGTGATCCAGACCCCTATGCACTTTTTGCTTTAAGTGTTGACTTTGAGCCTGACATCTTATTAGCAGCAATGTCACTGTGATATTAAAACCTGCCTTTCTTTGTTGTCTAGAACAATGACATAGTTGATGATAGTAAAAAGCACTTCCAGCAACATAGACTCAGAACTTCCAAGTGTAGCAAAGTTTTTTCCAGGCTAAGCTACGATTTCCTCTGGCTGGCTTTTCTTTTAGAGCCCAGGAAAACAGAGACTCAATTTTCTCTGGGAGGGTCAAGTATAGGCGATCCACCATGGTCGGGAGAAGGGATGAGGCACGATTCACAGTGAGCACACTTTTCTCAGTATTACAAAGAGGAGAGAGATTTAAATAACCACATTCCAAGGAAGATTATCCAGTACTAACTCCAGTGTTTACAGTTGGGTTCACTGGTGACAAACATGTGCGAAACACTAAATTAAAAGAACTCATAGTCTTGAGTTGTTCATTCCCTGGGGGAACATCTAGCATATAGTGTTTGCGCCCCGGATCTTGGAAACCCTTTCGGGTGGGACGCCTTATAAGACTGGCTCTGACACCGATGCACATACACACAAATCCTCTGGAAGTTACTATTTCAAACTATGCCAGGAGGGGATGAAATCAGACACCAACAAGGACTTTTACTCCTGCATGGCCAAGACATGCTGGGAGCAGCCAGAACAGCGTGACAGAGCAGACATTTCTCTGGACTGGAAATGGACCTGTCTAGGTTCTGGCCCTTGTCCCTTCATGGAATATTTGCTCTAGTAAGTCACTTAATTTTTCTGAGCTTACCTCTAAGGGTAGGAGTGACATGACAGGCAGCCTCTAAGACAGTAGGCACGTACGTTTATTATTCCATTTAAATAAAACATTCAGTTCCCCAGTTACACTAACCACGTTTCAAGTGGCCGCCAGAGTGGCTAGCGCATGTATTCTTACAATCACTGCAGGAAGTTCTTTTGGACAATGCTGTTCTAGATGATTTCTAGGATACTTTCTATTTCTAGGATTTGCTGATTCCTCAAAAGTCTGTTACAAGGACCTGAAGAGTTAAAAGGGCTACGTTCAAGGTGATATTATTGAAGATTTTAAAGAACGCATCATGTGTTTCCTTTGAGATAACTGACATGCAACCTGTTAGTTTCAGGCGTGCAGCACAATGGCTTCTATTTGTCCATACTTTGTGGTGATCACCATAACGCTCAGCATCCATCCCCACATCTAGCTACAAACCTTTTTCTTGTGATGCTAACTTTTAAGTGCTAGTTGTAGTAATTTACATACATTGCAGTATTGTTAACTAGCTGTGTGTGACATCCCCACATCTTTATTTTATAACTTTGTACCCTTTGAACAACTTCACCCACTTTGCCCCCAACCCCAGGCCCTATAACTTGTCTCTTGGAGCAAGGGAAGGCAAAGAAGACTGACGAGTGAATCTGTGCAATTGCTTTTAGCCTTATGATTCTATTATTTACATGACCACAGAAAGTAAGTGTCATGCCTGTGACTACGCAGAGCATTGTTTTGGGAATGATTCTGAGGCCAAATGTGGCCTCACCGGAAAAAGGTGAAAAACACCCACGCCATGTTTCTGTGGTTCCTGGCTCCTGCTCAGTACCTGGGAAACCTGCATCCCATTTGAAACAAAACACCACAAAGCAATTCTCCTGGGGCAGAAGATGCGTGAGAGCCGCTGCATTGCTGGGCCCACCAACAAGAGCTGGAAAGTCTGCTCATGTGACACAACAGCAGCCACTTACCTTAACCTGTGATTCGCTGCAGGATTGAGTTTCCTAATTTGTTCAAATGTCAAATCGCACAGCCGGCCGGTGCCGTCGGTCGTCCTGTCCACCGTGTTATCGTGCATCAGGACAGGGATCCCGTCGGATGTAAACTCAATGTCCAGCTCCACGCCTGCAGCCCCATTCTTAGCTGCCTTAACAAAAGCATCCGTAATGTTAATGTCAAATGGCCACAGTGTCGTTTCGCAGCCTCCAACCCTCACGATGCGCCACAGGGCCATGGCGGGCTAAGTGGACAACCGCTCTAGGCCCCTCCCTGCCCGAACGGCAGGTCAGTCTCCGTCTAGCCGTTCTGCAACTTCTGCACTCTTAGTGACAGCTGAGACAGGAAATGAATGGTTTCTTGGGTTTCCTCAATCATATGGGCGACTCATGCTCACAATTGCAAAGATGTCAACATTTCTACTGTTTGTACTCTGGTACAGTATCTCTGAAGACTACTGTTTGCTGATACTGAGCTACTCTGGCATAAACAAGATGAGTCAGGCTTTTGTTGGTTCAACTCCACCCTCTGCAGCAGACACCATATCTGCTTTTAGGGGCCACGACATTTGTGAGCAGTGCTGGATGCTGGCCATGAAGCTGGCAAGCTTGATGGGGTATACTAGGATTTACCTAGGAAATGTAAATGAATGTAAGTTCTATGGGTCCTGCTTTTCTGACATACAAATTTTTTTTTTTTTTTGGCTTCTTTGTCACAATGGAGATATGAAAAGCACATGATGAAGACTTTAACCTAATTTTTAAAAAATTATGTCAACAGGCCCTCCCTGCTGGAACAACAGGTTAAGGCGCAGCACTGCAAGCTGGCTGCAGCTGTTTCAGTGTGAGTTTGATCCCCATCTTGGAGGTGACTCACATGGCGCAGCAGACCTCTCCTGACCCGCCTGCTACTCCCCTCAGCAGTGTGTTTCAGTAGATCTGCCTGTTCTGCTCTCCACTCTGTCTCTGGGGAATCCTCTCAGCCCTGCACCTCTGGCTGTTCTGAATGCATAAATAAATAAATCTTTACAAAACAAGTAAGTAAATAAGTTATATGTCACATACACTGCAAACATACATAAAAGTGTATAGCAAAAAAGTCTTGAGAGGTGTTAACATTTTGCTGCATTTGCTTTAATTTCTTGCTGCCCTAAAACATAGCAGCTATCAATTGAGACAGCTCTATTTCTCAAGCACTAGTCTAAGTGTCTTAAGTATATTAACCCATGTGACCCTCACAACCCTGTGCAAGGTAATATTTCATTTTCAAATGAGGAAATTGAGGTAAAGTATGGTGAGGAAATTGAGATAAAGTATGGTGAAGAAACTTGCTCTGGTTTACACAAACTAGGAGGTAGTAGAGACGGAACTCAGTTACCACAGTTGTCTTAGCCACACCACAGGCACAGTGATCTCTCCCTTTGTCCTCTCCAGCGCCAACTCTCCATCTCTCACGTCCACTTATGGGTCTTTATATATTTACTCTACACTCAAGTACTTATTCACAGCATACAGCACTGGTCTTGTGCTTTATTTTTTGAGCAAAGATCTATTTATTTTTGCATACAAGAGCTGGGGTACAGGCCAGAAGTGTGGGGGGTGAGAGGACTCACCAGAGACAGAGTGGGGAGCAGAACAGGCAGAACTGCTGAGGGGAGCAGTGGGTTAGACAGGAGAGGTCTGCTGTGCCATGTGGGTCACCTCCCTGGCCGGGGATTGAACCTGTGCTGCGGAGGCTATGAACAGTCCCACAGACTGTACTTCAGCCTGTTGCTGGAGCAACGGGAGGGCTCCCATCAGGGAGGGCTCTGGCCTAGTGCTTTGAAAGCAGTCAATAAATACAGGTAAATACAAGCCATTGTTATTCAATAAATACAAGTAAATACAAGCCATTGTTATTCATTGACTTCTTTTCAAATATTTGTAATTGTAATTATAGTCAAATTTACCATATTTCTAACTTAAATACATTCTTATTTAAATTTTAAAAGCTATATAGCTACATTTCCTTCTGAGCTGAAATCTATGAATGGCGCATATATGTCCCAAGATGTCCTCCCCTAAAAATCCCAATTCTATCAGTTACTGGCTGGGTAATCTAGTTACTTTTCCTATGCAAGCCGCAGTTCTATCTACTTTTTTTTTTTTTTAAAGATTTATTTATTTATTCATATAGAACTGGGGTACAGGCCAGAGATGTGGAGGGTGAGAGGATTCACCAGAGACAGAGTGGGGAGCAGAACAGGCAGATCGACGAAGTACACTGCTGAGGGGAGCAGCGGGCGGGTCAGGAGATGTCTGCCGCGCCATGTGGTCACCTCCGGGGCAGGCGGGAATCGAACTCATGAGGAAGTGGCTTTTAGATTCTCAGTGCGGTGCTTTAACCCGCTGCGCCACCGGGGAGGGCCAGTTCTATCTACTTTTAAGATGATACTTTAAAGGACGCTCCTAAGAGTTGTAAGGATTCAGCAACACTACTGTAAATCACCTGGCTGGCGTTCAAGAAAATGCCACTGTGACTTGAAAATCACTGATGCTTCAGTTAAAAAAAAGTCATTACAATAATGTTTATATATATACTGGTTGTAACATTTATCTTTTTATAAGATTAAAAGGCCTATCTCTTATAAGTTATTATTATTATTATTTTGCATAGAAGAACTGGGGTGCAGGTCAGACAGAGGATGAGAGGATTCACTAGAGACAGAGTTGGGAGCAGAACCGGTGAGTCCACTGAAATATACTGCTGAGGGGAGCAGAGGACAAAACAAGAGAGGTCTGCTGCACCACATGGGTCAGCTCTCTGGCCAGGGGTGGAACTCTGACCTCAGCAGTGGCTATGTTGAAACTTAACCCCTAGGCCAACACAGTTAAAGTCAGAATAAGCTGCTGACTTATAAGGTATAAGGTACATCAACATGGGCCCTATATTCTACAACACAGATAAAGATGACATTGTCGGTACCCACAGTGCATCTCTTTCATTGTGACACAGATATATCCTTATTCCTTGGGACCAGCACTACAATTATATTCAATTATACTTTTACTCATTAGAACCTACTTTACTTGGCTGCAACAATGGTGAGACACAGTATTTTAGCAAAAGCGCCAGAATTAATGAGCTAACCTACTTGACTTTTCTAAGTTTATTATGGTCCAAAACAAAAGCCCTGGACTGGAGTTCCTTAAACCAGCTCTAGTAATGTCTGAATTCAACTTTCTTTTGTTATTCTGGTTTCAGAGTCAAAAAATAACCCCCTGATTCTAAATCACAAGTACATACTTCATATGTACTTTTCATTTATTTAAAGAATTTCTTTAAATAGTATTTTCCTTCTAAATATAAAAAGTTCACATAAACTTTTTTACATACATTTGGTAGTTTTATTTGAAGTGTTAGAAACTACAGCAGTTGTTCAGTAGCTGAACAGTTTATATAGTTGATAGAAATCACATCAGTGGTTGCCTTGGGGCAGAGGTGGATGTGCTGATTCCATAGCACAAAAAAGAACTTTTTGGGCTGATGGAAGTGGATTGAGTGTTGGTGACCCCAGTGTATATTTTCATCCAAACTGAAAAGGGACGGTGGGCACAGTTTCATTCTTGTCATTGTTTTAACAGTGTAGCTGTGTTTGAAATACGCTCACTGCGCATCACTGAACCTCCTCTATATTTTATAATTGACCAGAAATTCTATCACTGTGAGAATATCTTCCCTGATTTCTTACATAGAAATGTTTATGAATATAAATTATGAGTAACAGCCATATAAAGGGAGAAAGATCAGGACAAAAAACAAAACTTCCATGAAAGTCAATTATATATTTCTTTTGAAGTCTGTATTCAGGAGCTAAAAAGTTCATTGACAATGACCTTATCAAACAAACTACATCACTACATCTCTCTTCCTCTGAAGAGAGGTAATCAGCTTTGTACAATGTTTGTTATCGCTACACATAATATAGGCACGCTCAGCCAAAACACATGAATGGAATCTTGTAACACAACAGGATGTGAAACACTGTGTATTTCATACTCCTACTTCCTTACTTAGTATGATTTCTATCCAATCAAACTTGTTCTGGGCCAGACCATTAGTAAGTGCTTACGGATGCCTTCTGTGCTAATTGAGTTCTACTTTAAGGCATCTTCCATAAAGGTTAGGCTGAAATGGAAGCCAATGACAGTTACTTGCCCCCCCCCATAAAGATATCAGTAATCAAACATCTTTCTTTTCATACAATTCCATCTCCTACATAGCTATGTTACTTCATCCAACTTCTCTGAGTTTAAGTGTAAATACATTCTTCTATTACTTTAGATTTATTTTTAAACAGGTTAGATAAGTAGCTCTATATCCCTTCTACTGTAAAGAACCAAGGGGATTAAAAGAGAAGTTTGACTTAGTTTATAAATACAGGTATCCTGTATTCTGTTAAAGAATGGCTGTATGCCTGACCCTCTTCCTTCTTCACACTTAAAATGTTTGCCTTTACACAAATGACTTGAAAGAAGTCATCTTCGGATTCCTGGTTTAGAGATTACACTTGTGGATTTTTACCATGGGCCAAGCATTTTATATGGACTACCTCAGTGATCACAGCCCATTAGGGAGATACCAACATTATTTCTACTTTCCAGTGGAAAACTGTGGGACTAGAGTGAGGACACTAGTAGCAACCTAGTGCCCTAGGTTGCTTTGTTTGCCACATCATGGTCATGACTGTCTGGGACACAGAGCTACTTAAGTAACTTGCTCATTACCCAAGACTGTCTATCCCCAGCTGAGAGCACAGAGGTCAGTCCAAGCTAGAGTATATCCTAGTCTATGACAAAGTGCAGGTAGGCTGGAATCAGAAGGTGGAATTTCTGAAAGAGCTATGTGTATTTGAGTCAGTTTTCCTGTCCAGTTAATGCTAAAATAATGTCTCAAAGTAATGAGAAGATAGCATTTTCACATATGCATGCAAAATTGCAATGCCTCTTACACAGCAAGCTGTCATTATTATGAAGTTAGGAAGCTGCCACGAGAACTGGGAGGAATCTGGAGTCTCAGGCAAACCTTGTAAAAAGAAGAGGCAGAAACTGATCAGGAGTCCTACGGTCAGGGCTGGCTGGGCTGAATGTGTGTGTTTGGAGAGAAAGAAGATAAAGAGGCCACTTGGATAGTCTGGAAGACAAGCAAAGCCAGCAGCTGTGAAGGTGATTCATTGAGGATAAACTCAACCAGTGACCAAGACTCTACTTAACCTGGTTACGTTTCCAGCTTCACTTACACCCCAGTCTATGTTTCCTTCCATTATGTCAGCTCTCACAGGGACTGAGCATTTTACCATCACTCCTACACCTCAGGATCTTTGCACTTGCTCTGCCCTCCCTGGAATACTTCTCCCCCAGATCTATGGCTGGTTTCTCATCCTCTGATTTCGGTTTAAAAGTCATCTCTGCCTACATCTAAAACACCCCAGCTCCACCATCCAGTCATTTTTCAGCCCCATTATCCTATGTTTTCATTGCACCGTATGCTCTTTACGTTTCCTTGCTTGACATGGGCCTCTCCTAGGCCAATGCTAACTCTGTGAACGCAGGGAAGCTTTCAGTCATCTTCATGACTGTCTCCAGCGTCTGCGCATAATGAATATGTAAATATTTGCTATGTTCTATAAATACCTGAAATTGGGAGATTTTCCAGACTTCAGAGGGCTCGAAGGCCACTTGAAGGTATCTACCGTGGGCGAAGGGGGAACTGGGAAGACTATCACGAGGAAACTGGGGTCCTTCCAAAGGACAAGCAGAAGTTCCAGCCCGGAGGCTGGAGGGTCGCCAGGCCTGGGGGGGCTCACCTGCCGAATGGCCGCCAGCGTGTTCTCGGGCGCGTCGTGGCTGCCGCCGCGGTGGGCGATAGCGGCAACGCGGTCTCGGGGCTTGAGCACCTGCAGGGCCCTGCGGGAGGGCACTGGCTCGAAGCTGAAGAGGCGCAGCAGCAGGTAGAGGCTGCTGGTGAAGAGGCAGGCATTGAAGGGGCTGCGCGTCACCACCAGCAGCAGCAGCAACAGGAAGGAGAAAGGACCCAGGAGGCCCCCGTGGTCCTCCAACACCCACATGCCGGCGCCCGCACCGGCACGAGCGGGGGTCCCGGGCCCGCCGGGCTCCCCGGGCAGGAGATCGAGAGGCAAGGGTGAGAGCCCAAGGCGCTCCCCGAAGCGGGCGCCCTCTGAGCGGACCGGCGCCGCACAATGGCGGCAGCAGACACATCCGGAGAGGGAGCGGCAGCCCCAGCCAATCAGGGCCCAGGAGCGCCGGGGATCGGGGGCGGAGCTGCTGCCAAGGCAACGGAGGCGCGCCCGGGACCCAGGCTCACGTTCCAAAGTGGCACTGGGTCAGTTTTACCCAGCTGGGTCTTGGGTCAAGGGGTTCGCAGCCTCCAGAAGGGGAGGGCTTAGGAGCCGCCGCCGTAAGGAGCTTTGCAAGGACGGGGTGCTTAGACTAGTTATTGCAATCAGTTCGAGATGTGCCAAATAACAGATGTGCCAAATAACAGTGCAGGTGCTAGGGACACAGCACCGACAGGACAGTGTTTGCTCTAGCGGGGTGATTGAGAATTACAGTTAACATTTGTAAAGGACTTACCGTGCTCCAGGTTCTGTGCCAGCAGAGGCTTTAATGTAGTTATCTTATTTATCCCCACCGCAAGCTTGGCGGGTAGGCATTACTGCAGATTTTCAGGAGACCTAGAAGTGAGAGAGAATAGGGCTCAAGGAAAAACCTTGCAGAAATATTGCCATTCAATTTTTTTTTTTTTGTTCCCCTGGGCTAGTAGACAAGAGGTTAAAGCCCTAGTGACTTTAAGCCTAGACACCTGCTGCCATCAATTTCCTTGACACTTTTTTTTTTTTTTTTACTAACTTCCCGGGAGCCCAGGCATTCCTGAGTGACTTATCTTTCCACAGTTTATTAAGTTGGCTGTTATGGGGAAAAATCCAGAAGAAAGGGGAGTTGCAGACCTTGAGACTAGCCTTGTTTATCTGGACCTGTGGGGACACAGCCTTCATGATTTCTTCACTTTGGACCTGGTCCACGGCCCACATGACCACCGAGCCACGGCTGTTAATCACAGCTCGCATCTTTCAGCAAGTCCCAAGTCCACTCTCCTTGCCATCTCAGCCAATAAAGTGTCATTCCTTTGTTCTCAACCCCTAGTCCTAAAACCTACAGAGACCCTCCAGTCTCTGTACCTTGGTGAATCTTTCTCATGCCCCCAGAGGTCTCCCCAGACTTCTCTTTCTTTGTTCTTTTGCTAATAAATAAATGCTGACTCTTTGTTGCCCAGTGACTGTGGAGTCTCTTTTCAGTCTTGACTAGAGGGTCTCAAGCGCCCTTTCCTGGTCTGGGAGCAGAATCCCTCCATCCATCCCTCTAATTCCTGGCTGTTGGCTGTTGCACTGCTAGCTTACCTGAGGGAGGTTGACATCTGTCTGAGGGGGCTCTGGCCCACTCCCTTATCTGGTGACAGGATTTTTCAGAATTTAAGGGAAGGAAGGAACATATTTAAAGGGAGGCACGCCCCACTCATCAAGCTGGAAGGGATTTTAATGACTCCCTCATTTTGTAGACGAGGCACCTGAAGTGAGGAGCTGTGAATTGAGTCATAACGGCAAAGTTAGGATTGAAATCAAGCCATTCCAGTTTTAGGTCAGTGATCTTTTTACTGCTACTCCTCTGCCTAACCTTCTTTGAGATAGATACTTGAACATTCTCATTTGACATAACACAAAAATAGCCGTGGAAAGGAGAATCCCTAAGAGAGGCAGAAGGTAAATCTAAACTAGAAAATAAAAAGGGCCTCTACATCATCTTTTGTAAAGCTATTATATGTTTAGATAGAGAGCTTTGGTAAAACATTCTCAGCTTTACCTGCCATGTTGAACTTATTCTTCAGGTATTTTCCCACTGATTTGGAAAAGGGGAAGGGTTGTCTTAAGGCTTAGCGTCTAGAATTCTGGAGATTTTTATTTACAGAGTAAACAGTTTTGGTGGGAATCTTATGTTGGCAACGTCCGCAGTGAGATTACTTTTCTACAGTTAAAAAAATAGCAACTTCAAGGAATAATCCAGGGGGCTTCAGAATGCAGACAAGCATTCATGGTTTACGCCAATTTAGAGGCTCTACCGTGCAATAAAGACTACGTTTCCCAGCGTGCACCACGCACCCATCAGTCGCTTTTCACCACTGGGTCAGGGCGTGTATTCCGGCGCGCAATGCACTTCGGGGACTGTAGTTTTCTGTGAGCCCGGGAAGGACCCACCGGAAGTGCTCGCCCTGAGAGGTGGAGTCTGGGCGGGACGGGCGGCAGCGGTTGCCTGGAGCCCGCGTTGCCGCCTGAGACCAGTAATATGGCGGGGAGGAGGAGGAGAAGGCGGCGGCGGCCCGAGCTGCTCTCTGTTGGTACCAATTGAGCCAATTGCTTCCTGACAAGGCCTGGGGCTTGGGGAAAAAAAGCCGACTGGGCCGTGGGAGATCAGGTGTGTGAGGGGCGGACTGGGCCCTCCGCGTCCAGGCTCCGCTGGACCCTACCAAACCAGCGGGAAGGCGGACTTGGCGCCCAGAGGAGCTGGGCTGCTCTGGACCGACCGCGAGAGGTGCGGGCCTCCCGGACCTCCGGCCCCTGCAGAAGCGCTGGGTATGGGGAGGACCAAATGCCCTGGGGCCAGGCGGGAGGGCATGTTCGGATGTTGGCACGGCTGGTGGGCCCTCGGATGCAGCCTCGGATGGTGCTGGGGTTTGGGGAAGCGGTGGGCGTGGGGCGCTGGGGTGAGAGGGTCCCTGGCAGATAAACTCGGGCCAGCGCCAAGGAGTCACCTCCCGCTGATAAAACTGTCGGGATCCTTTTTGTTTTCTCCCGCGATGATGGAGAAAAGGCGTCTCCAAGGTGTGCACTGGCCTTTTCTGAGCGATGGTTACCTCAACCAAAGGCCCTGGGAGCGCTGTTTACTCTGCCATTGCGACTCTGGGGAATAAACTGAGGATAATACAGCAAATTGACTTGATAAGCACCCGCGACTGCTGTTAGGGGGTCCCCACTCTTTGCTGGTTGTAATCCTGGTTCTTTACCTCCAATTTAGGCAAATGGCAGGTGCCTAGAGATGGATTTGTCAGGGAGGCGTTTGCAAACCACGAAATGAGGAAGCTGATGGTTCCCTTTCGTTTTAAAGTTACGTTTGAATCTTGTCAGGAGCCAAGCGCAGCCCACTGTCCTCCAGGAGTTCATAATTTAGTCATAAAAGTCATAACCAGCAGCCTCTGTACAATAAAAGCAGCCCCTTTTATTGATGCTTTCTGCATGTCTTGCAACCTGCTAATTGCCACACGTTGTACTTCATTGGATCCTCGCAGAATCTCTTTGAGACAGATACTCTGCTTATCCCTGTAGAGATGAGGAAGCTAAGGCGTGGAGACGGTAAGAGAGTTACCAAGAACACACAGCTAGTATATGCCTGATGTAAACCTTCTCTGTTGCTTCTCCAAGAAGTTTACATCTGGTGGGGACTGATGGCTGAATAACTAACTAGCCAGGATCTTGGAAACAAGGCAGGATCAGCCCTGTGTTTTTTCCCTTTCCCTTGGATGTTTTTGGCAGAGTGTTGGTGAGCAGGCGGTCCCAGGGCCATGCATCTGTGGGGTTTGCAAAGAAACTCATTTGGAAGAGTGTCACGGTATAAATGAAGAACACAGGCGTGTCTGAACTTGATGCCGCTGACAAATTATTAAGCCAAGTGGACCAATAATGCCTGATGATAAAGTATGGGGCAGTAGATTTGTGGTTGGAGTGGCCTTGTAGTCAAGCCTCCCTGAAAATAAAAACTCTACTGACAAAGGTAATTGTGGTGTGAGAAAGTACCCTCTTGCTTAATCATATGGGTTGCAGACGCTCACTTTTTAAATGGTTGCCTTGCACTTTACAGCTACCAGTTTCTCAGAGGCTGGAGTCATCTCCTAAACTCCCGTTCTCTAGCTTCCATTCTTCCTTACTAATTTCATTGCTATGTAGTTCATTTCCGTCTTGTTGTTTTTTGAACTAGTTTGAGCTAATTACCCTCGTTCATTTATTCAGTACTTGGATCAGGTGCCTCCTGTGTTCTGACGTAGTGGTGTGTAATGAGGATTCAGTGGTGAGAAGACTAAGAAGGTGCCAGTGCTGATGGAGCTTCCCCTTGGTGGAAGAAGACAGACAAAAGCCAAGGAAATAAACAAGATAATTTCAGATAGTGGTAAGTGCTGTGAACATCGGGAAACAGCAGGCTGACGTGATGGTGACTGAGCACAGCTCGTTTCTGTGGCATAATTAGAGACAGCCTCTCCAAGGAAGGGACACGCAAGGAGGGGCTGGAGGGCAAGAAGGCTCATTTGGTAATTTCCATAATTACCGTTTGTATTTGCATACTTACTGCTTTATCAAATGCTAAAAGTTATGTTACAGTGTCTGTAGTATGTAGGACACACGGGTACATCAAGGGGTGTGGGTATAACTTTCTGAAGCAGTGAGGCATATTTATATAATACTGTTGAAAGAAAAACAAGACCATTACCAGAAGATATTTTATTTCCTTAAATTTCCCAGGACTTTAAAATAGAATTTCATGCTTTGCTTGTGTATCCAGAAAAAGTACGTTGCATTGATTATATGGATCATTTATATTGCCTGTAGTGCTGGATGCATGGGTTGTATCAATAATATTTTTAAGTATTTTATCAGAAATGGGGTCGTTTGAATTTTTTATATCTAAGCTTCTGTATATTTTCGTTGTTAAGATATCACAATGTAGGGCCCTCCCTGGTGGTGCAGTGGGTTAAAGCACTGCATTATGAAGCCGTCTGCAGCCACTGCAGCACGAGTTCAATTGCTGGCCAGGTAGTGACCCACATGGTGCAGCTGACCTCTCCTGTCTCCCGGCTGCTCCCCACTGCAGTGTAATTCAGTAGATCTTCCTGTTCTGCTCTCTGGTGAATCCTCTCAACCCCCTGCACCTCTGGCCTGCACCCCAGTTCTTGTATACATACATAAATAAATCTTAAAAAAAAAAAAAGATACCATAATGTATGTTGAAATCTCAACAAAAATAGGTGGCTTTCTGTGGCTAGCATGCAGTAAGGTGTCTTTTCCTTTTGTTGGTTTTATGAATATACATTTGCAAAGTAATTTCATTTATACTCTAGAGAACAATTTCTTGAAATTAAACTCTCATTTGACATGTATTGAATGTAAGCTGATTAGAATTGGTGGTAGGAAGAAATTTTGTTACTAATGAGAGTTTGTCAAAATTAGCAACATAACTGTTTGTATCATAATGTAATCAAAACTTTGAGCGTATTCTCCTAATTGCACTATAATTTGTCCCTGGCTCTTTAGTGGAGTGAATTCTTAAGTACTTAGGTGTAGGACAGTATTATATTCTATGCTATTTCATCTTTGCAGATTTTACATCATGAAGTGAATTGTTCAACATTCTTTTTAGGAAGTAGTTAATTGTTGAGATGAAAAAAATGTACAAAATGATGTAAAAGTAAACTATTATATTATACAAAACGTAGTTAATTGTTTAAACAAATACTTAAAGGAACATTAGGCTTTGTTTTCACAGTTCATACCCTTGCTGGTTATGATTTTGATGATGTCTTTTTTTTATTTTCTCTTGCTTGCTTAAACAATGCCAGGCATAATGCTATGGAAACAAGCAGTCAACTGTTTAACGCCTGCTGGGTGGGTGAATATGATGGCTAATCTTTCCTGGTTACCTTGTATTTTCATAGCCACCATCATAGTTTCCCAGAAGCTGAAATTACTAGCTTGATTAAGTAGATTAGGAGTTTGCTGTGGTTTTAATTTTCAGTGATAAAATAGAATTAGTATGAAAGCTAGTAGATATCCTGTTTTCTACTACTCACTGATTTGGCTAGTGAACATGGGGTCAAACTATAATTTTTTTTTTTTTAAGATTTATTTGTGCATATAGAACTGGGGTACAGGCCAGAGGCTCAGGGGCAGTGAGAGGGTTCACCAGAGACAGAGTGGGGAACAGAACAGGCAGATGGACGAAGGACACAGCTGAGGGGAGCAGCGGACGGGTCAGGAGAGGTCTGCTGCGCCATGTGGTCACCTCCGGGGCAGGCGGGAATTGAACTCATGCTGAAGTGGCTTTGGCTTCTTAGTGCTGTGCTTTAACCCGCTGTACCACCAGGGAGGGCACCAAACTATATTCTTAATGTATGCAAGTAACAGACCTTGAATTCCATGATACAAAAAGAATATTTAAAGAGAAATAACATCTTTTATTTAAATAGCTCTATTGTCTTTTTTTTTTCCTTTGTTGGTATAAAAGCAACTCTACCTTTGCATGAATTAGTTTTTTTCTTGTGCTATATAGAAAAATCCTGCTAAAGAAAATATTTTGTTTTAGAGTCAAAAGTTAGTAAAGAATGTAAAACTTTGTTTCCTTTGAGAAGGTTTCACTGGCAAGTTCTTGGACTTCTCTAAACTAGTCACATCAAAAGTTTGATTTACATACACATTCAGAAATACTTAATATATGAAGCAAGGCTTAAGTGGATAGGGTTTGAGGCTGCCTACCTATACCTGAGAATTAGCTTCTAATCAGGGAAACCATTCTGGGATGTCAATTTTAGGGGTTGTAAATTCTAGAGATACTTCAGTGCTTCACAAGATTTGCCAAATAATAAGGATCTGTTTTTCTTAGCACATTAAAAGTGATATTTTTTTTTCTTATAGTCTGATTGTGGAAAGATGGAGGAATATGAAAAGTTCTGTGAGCAGAGTCTTGCCAGAATTCAAGAAGCATCATTATCCACAGAGAACTTTCTACCAGTTCATTCTGAAGGCATCTCACTTATTCGCTTCCATGGCATGGCTGTGCTTTCTCCACTGGTAAACTATCTTTTTTTTTTTTAATATTCTTTTTTTTTCTTTAAATAGTGTACCACTAAAGTAGTTTCCAGAAAAACAAAAGAGAGGCTTCTGATCATTGTAACGATGTCTGGCCCTTATTCATAATTGAAATACAAATGCTTTGGCATTTTTTACCTACTAGATTGGAAGATCTGATATAGGACTTGGTGTTCCTTGGGTTGTGGGGGAAAGGCACTTTCAGTGCACTTTTACGGAATCAATTGATTTTATTTTTTTGTTGAGCAAGTTGTTAATGTTTATCAGGATTGAAAAGTGTACAAAATTTTTGACTTGGCAGTTTCATTTTTGGAACTATCTTCCTACTGTGCCCTAAGGTTACACCAGATTCTAAGCAGCTTTGTTGAAAATAGCAAAAAATATTGATGAACAGCCTAAAGGTCCATCAGTAATGGATTAGTTTAACTAACAATGGCCCATTTCATAGACTCTTCAGGCGTGTCTCAATAATGAGCACAGTAGATGCAGCTGGTAGCCAGGGAAGGAGCTACCATGAATCGCTACACGTGGCTGTTTTCAGAGTCGGTGTACAATGGTGGCTCTAGTCCTGGATTGGAGCTTCCTGACCTGGGTTCAAGTCACTGCTGTGTTACTACCTGCTGTGTAAACTTGCAAGTCCTTTTTCTTTGTGAAGTTAGGATACAAATAGCACCTGCTATATGGAACTGTTTTCAGGCTCAGGTAAACTATCAGTAGCTCAGACCACTTCTGGATCATAGGAGGTACTCAATATATGTAAGCTATTTGGATTTTAAAAACAAGGATATTATATTCTTTCTCTGGAGAAGAATAAGGGACTATAGGATGAGAGGGGAGACATTTTATTGTGTATGTTGATTAAGTATTTTTAAACTGTATTTGACTTTACTTAAAATTGGAAAGCTAATGCTATTAAAACTTTAAAATTTTGGGGGGCTCTCTGGTGGGCTAGGGGTTAAGTCTCAGCACTGCCACTGCTGTAGCCTGAGTTCAATACCCGGCCAGGGAGCTGACCCACATGGCGCAGCAGACCTCTTCTGTCTCGTTTGCTGCTCTCTTCAGCAGTGCAGTTCAGTAGATCCTCCTGTTCTGTTCCCCACTGTCTCTGGGGAGTCCTCTCATGTCCGTCACCTCTGGTCCACTCCCCAGTTCTTCTATGCAAAAATAAGTAAATGAAATCTTTCTTAAAAAGTCATTTTTTTAACAATAGGAGTTAAAAATCAATATTTTCTGCCAACTTTTTGTAATGAAATTTTTAAATATAGAAATATTGAAAAGACCACCTCATCT